AAGTGATTTACATGTGTCAAGAGTAACATGCGGCCACCGTTCCCAAGCCATGAACTGGTTACTGGGCTGTGCAGCTCAGGTATGTGCTTCCACACTGCTCTTCCGCAGTGAGTGCACATATGAAACCTCTCCTGCCCAGCTCTGAGCTACTGTGCCTGCAAAAAAACCAAAACGGGTTGTGCATGAGTCCCAAAGCAAGGTTGGTGAGGTTCCTCGCTCTTTTGAGGCCCAAGTATTTGAACACACTTCTGTTAGTTAGTTAGTTTATTTATTTATTTATTTGTTTGTTTGTTTGTTTTAAAGCCCTTTCCCCTTCTGATATGTGGAAGATCCCCATAAGCGAGTGGCAGTGCTGATGTAACTCAGGAGGTTCTTTGCCAGCCCTGGGTGTTTGCTGGCTGCTGCCATCTGGCCACATTTGAAAACATATCAAGACTCAGCTTTAAGAAAACTTGCATGCTTCTCTCTTTCATAGTAGGTAGAAGTAACTAAATCAGTGCTAGGTAAAAATAACTAACCAAGATCATGTTCACAGCATTCCTCTTTTCACTGATTGACTGAAATGATTTTCTCCCTTCCAATTCTGTTGTGATTTAGTCGCCGAGCGGCAGACTTCCAGCTATAATTGTCGCACTACTCCATTTTCCAGCTGCATTCATCTCCAAGAACTGCACAGCTTATGTCTAGACAACCCTCTGAGGAATCTCCCTCTGTGGCCTTACATAGCTTTTGCAGTGACACCAAGACTGATGTCAGCCATTTTCGAGACAGATAGCCCTGCCTCTGCCTCTCACAGCGCAGTCAGCCCAGACAAGCGCTTCAAGTGGAGGCAGCGTGTTGAATCTTTATTCCAAAGCATACATAATCTGCATTCATGTGTGCTTACACACATATGCACAGATATGCTTTTGAGGGAGACTGGACCCTTTGCCTTTTTATGCAGTTTTGTTTTAAGTCTGCCTTTGTTAGCGTCCATGCAGTTTTCCTTTTTGACTTCTGTGGAAAACTTAGGATGAAATGTAACAAGGACTGGTACAATTTCCCTGCTGTTGCTGTGGTAGGGAGATGCGCCCAACCTGAGGGAATGGTACGAAGCTGTGTCTGGGGAGGTGTAGGTTAAACATTAGTAAAAACATGCCTTATACTGTTCCTAGGCTTGAGGCTTACTTCCATGCAATGGCTGTTTCACCCTCCAAGACAGGGTGGCTCTCTGCAGGCTTATTATCAGGAGTGACCTGTGTTCCCTCCTGACTCTTGAGCTACACACACACACGAGTCAGTTGGGAGAGTGCTACTGTAACAGACCGAAGCTATTCCAGGTGCCGTGGTAATAACATGCTATAGGTAATCACCTTCCAGTTTCCCATCACTGTTGTGCCATAGCTAAGGTAGGCACCCTATGTTTAGGGGGAATGGAGCCAGGGAACTGGGCTGACGCATTTCCAGTCTCACCTTCTCCTGCAGGCCACAGAAGTGAAAGGGTGGGTCCATGCTCACATACCTCTTCCCTAAATCAAGCTTCAGACCTTAGGCTAAACTCAGTGATGGAATAAAGATTTATGGCATGGAAGACTGACCATGTTTAGTGTTGACCAGTCACTTAGCTGACAGACAGATAAAGCTTTCGTTATAGTCCTAGAGGAGAGGGAATCATGTTAGGAATGTACCCTGAATGATGCCTGACTCGTACTCAGGATAGCACATCATGCTGTCGCTGAGGGAGAGAGAGGTGATCAGACCAGAACTACCACCATGATATGGGCTTTACACACGTGGTGGGAATATGGATCAAAACTGTAACGCTTCCCTCCTCGCTGCCACTCTAAAGTGTTGAGCATCAAGAAGCACAATGGACCATCAGCGCAGAAAATACATCAACCATGGTTTTGAAACATTTCAACATTGGAAGTTTCCAGTTGGGTAGGCAAGTTGCTTGTTACCAAAGGCATAGAGCTGAAGCAACTACTGTTCTAAAAGACTGTTAAAATTAAATTGTGAATTTACATCTCTGTCATTGCAGCCCTGGAGCAGAGTGGCTGCCTAGGTATTTCATAATGGAGAATATAAGTGTAGCAACACAGGATTTAGTCTGCTGAATAGTATGCAGTATTATGTAATTTAATAACATTAAACTAGGATGTTCAGATAATATTTGAAATCTGTTTAATATCATTTATATTTTATATGTCAGTTGAATTTGGGGGAAAAAAAGATTTTAGAAGAAACGGGGAGAGCACAGTAGGAAATTGTGCAGAGTACTTATCTGAGACTACATCACATGATCTGCAAAGCACGGCTTTTGCTTTTATACACATAGTCTTGGCTACTCTCCCACTAGCAACAATAGTGCTCAGACTCATACTGATGTCACTGTTGAGTTATTTAATTTGACTGAACGAGATTAATGTGTTTATTTAAAACCTTGGTCAAAATGGAAAAGAAAATCTTGGGACAATACTTTTACGTGAACGTGTATGTTTTCATATCTGATGATTGTAATGTTGCATTAACTTATCAGAAGCAGTTGTTTACACATGTTAATGCCCAGGAGACCCCCTCAGATAAGAAGCGTGAGCCATTTTCCCTCTCAGCCTGGAGCAGAGACTTCACTGCTGTTGGTCCAGTGGGCTTTCATTCCAGGCTTTCCTTGCTTCCTGTTGCTGCTTTCAGGGCTGATCCACAGCGATCCCAGCATTGATTCATTTTCTACACGAGGATGGGTTTGATGCCACCAAGCAGTAATAGCAGTGTGGTGGTGGATCCTCCAGAGGTTCTCACTGGGGCAGTGAGGGACAGACACCTGCACTGCACAGGACGTCGAGATGCGGCTGGTGCTGTAGCTTCTGTAGGCTGAGCCTGCTCCTGCAAAGGCTAACTGCCTAAGTTTGATCCACATTATGTTTTACAAGCAGCTTGAGGGTTTTTTTCCTGTGATACATCATTCTGAATTTACTTCATTCTCACATGTACCCTCTAAGTGTTTAGAATAGACTTTGGTTTTGACTAAGAGGCATTATTAAGTATCCAGTTAAATACTCCAGGTCATTGGATTTTCACTAATACAGAGCGGGGAAAGAATCTGGAATATGAAGTTTCTCTTGGTCTGAAGGGACAAGTTCAGGCAGTTTTGCATGAAATCAATTGATCATTGACTGATGAATGGCACAAGCAAGGGGGTTTCTGCTGTGTTCTGTCAAGAACCTCTCTTGACAGTTGAGTACAAATGGACACACACATTGATTGGTAATGTAGAAATTGCGTAAGCCACAGATCAGTGCTGTGGTAGGTGCCTGAAGCAAGGTGGGCCTGCTCTGCCTTTCAGTTTTATGGTCCCTCTGTGCATACTTTCATGCAGCCTCCTGTTCACTGGTTCTTGGAATATTAGTCTCTTGGGGAATAGCAACTACTGATGGCATTTGTGACATGCCAAGGTGTTGCTTTTATGCTGCTTCCATCTTTCTAGTGCAGTAGAAGGCTTTTAGGAATTTGAGCCCCCGCCCTTGCCATTGCTGCTGTTGTGGAAGAAGGGAAAAAGCTTGTTATGCATCCATGTACCTGGAGTTCTCAGAGTGCTTGGCGTCTTAAAGGGTAATGCAGTGGGGCAGAGGGATGGGCATGGGAACAGAAGAGCTGGTAGAAAAAACAGCTCCAGGCAATCCTTGGTTCTCAGGTTGTCTAAGAGGCTCTGATGCCCTGGGCCATGTGTGCTTACTCTGCAGCATGCTCCAGAGCTGTGTGATGCTGAGGGTATCAGACTATGCCAAATCTTTGGGATTTGCCTCCTGTATCAATGTGTTGTACCCTGTGCCTGCACATGATGTCCCCAGGTGCCCTTTGAACCCTTACTAGAACTGTATGTCGAAGGAAAGTGCAGAATAATATGGTTTGTGAAGCTCTGCTGCTCCCAGTGCCGGGCAACATCTGTCTCCTCAGTGGCTGCATATAAGTGATGCTGAGGACTATATGAGCAGACCTTTACTGGATGGGGGGAAAGATCCACAAGAGTGGACCAGGGCAGTCATGCTGCTCCTTTTCTAGAGGCATCCATTTAAAGGCTGCCCCCATCTCCTGTTCTAAGTGCCCTCTGTATATATAGTTCAGACCTTTGGACTAACTATGCACAGGGGGTCCATGAAGTATATATTTAAAGCAGTAAATAGCTTGACATACATCTTTCCTCAGAGTTCCAGTCAGTGGAAATATGCCATTTACAGCTAAAATTAGACTGGCTCCAGCTACATGAAGGAAAAAAAAGTAAACCCTCTCAAGAACTAAACTCCTTCTGTTGGACTGTGTCAGATGTAGCAACTCCTAGCAAAAATAACTGAGGATCCATCCAGCACAAACTGTGTCCAAAAGTCTGTGAGTGGGATCCAGAAAGCTGTGAATTGTTGAAGAGAAAGAAACAGACTGTCAAGGCAAACAAGGTTTTTCTATTTCATGTGAGAAAATATAAATAAGCTTAGAGAATACTAACAGATCTTTCAAAGGCCCTAAGTGAAATCTGGGAGTAGTCATTTTAAATTAGTTTTGCAGTTAATACCTTACAGTTCTTGACAGTACACTGTGAGACTGGAGTGGCAGAGGGAGTTGAAATCAGTACAATATTCTACTCATTGCTTCCATAAAATTTGATATTACAGATTTAATTTCCTAGAAGATGCTTGAACTGAACCTGCAGCTACCAGCATGCAAAAAAGAGCTATGTTTTGTTTTCTAGTAAATATAACCCTAGCTGTGCAACCATTTGCCTGGTGCATTAAACTCTAAACAGAGTTGAAGTGGCTGGATTCTTAATGATTTCCATGGTCCAACTCTAAAATGAGTGGGGAGGGTAATGGGGAGGAGAGACTTGGACCCAAAATAAACATCAAAAACCAAACAGAAAACCATTGCAAATTAACTACACATTTTGGATAATTTCTCTTTCAAAATATTTTATTGAAGGAACAATGAAAATAGTGTGTGAAGCCTAACTATGTATTGTGTTGCTGTTCCAGGCTTCATCAGCAGTTTCTCAATGTTTGGAAAGTTCTGAGACCCACCCTGTTGCACCACTTGCAACCAGTGCCTAAGACTACAAAAACATATGTGTGGAAGAACCTTTCCTTGAAGGAAGTGTCCCTCGCTATACTGTGGAAACTCCGTTCAAGCCTTGCCAGGCAGGAGAGCGATTTGTGCTTCCATTGGCATTTGTTTGTAATCTCTGCTTCTTATGCACTCCAGCACCCCTATCAGTTCCTTGTTCTCCTTCACCAGCCCTGCAGTGAAAAGGCTGCTGGGCTGGAAACAAGGAGATGAAGAAGAAAAGTGGGCAGAAAAAGCTGTCGATTCCTTGGTGAAGAAGTTAAAGAAGAAAAAGGGTGCCATGGAAGAACTGGAAAGGGCTCTGAGCTGCCCGGGTCAGCCCAGTAAATGTGTCACGATCCCTCGTTCCTTGGATGGGCGGCTGCAGGTGTCTCACCGCAAGGGGCTTCCCCATGTCATATATTGCAGAGTGTGGCGCTGGCCTGATTTACAATCTCACCATGAGTTGAAACCACTGGAATGTTGTGAATTCCCATTTGGCTCAAAACAAAAAGAAGTGTGCATTAACCCCTACCATTACCGGCGGGTGGAAACCCCAGGTAATTATGTCATCTGCGAATGATTCACATCTCTCTATTAGCTCCTGCTCTAGCAGGTCTAGTCTTGGTGCATCCTACGAGTTGTGCTCTTAAATGTGAAAAGGCAGGCTCCATCTAATGGAAGGATCTTGGGTCTTACCCTGCCCTGTGGCATCATAGCTCTGGCAGCCAGGAGTAAGGAGGAAGTAAGGAGCCCCTTGCCTGGTGGGGTCTGCATCCCATCGAGGGTGCCCAGATGTTGTCCAGGGTGCTGAAAGCAGCTTCCTCTCCATGGATGTGGGTGCAGAATCCACCCCTTGTGAACTGGTGTCCATTTGCATTAAGTCTAGGCACCACCCTAGATCTTACCACCCTGGCAAGATTTACTCTCATTGTCTCAAAATCAGCAATCGACTCATTAACCCACAGGAAACACGAGCTCTCCCTTTAAAGATAAGAGTTGCAGTAAGATAGCATATTTTGCAGTAGATATGAAACCAGGTCGGTTGATTCTTCCTAAAATGCCTGGTGACCTGCCTTAAATGGAATTTACTTACCTAAATGGAGAGTTTATGTGAAAAAAATTCCGCCAAGTTCTCATAAAACTTTGAAATTTTCCCCTGATGATCCTCTTTAGGCTGGACTTGGCTGGCACTAAAAACTCATGACCTCACTGAAGGGTCATTTAATTGGGCTTTATGTCAATGAAACAGCTGTTAAAAAGTCACAGTGTTCAGTGTTGACTTCTGTAGGGATGTTAGAAAGCAGGACTGGCAGAGATCTCAAGCAGTCATCCTGTTTTCCTCTGGCCAGACCACCAAACCAAAACAAATGACCAGGTACATTCCTGACGGATCTTTTTCTAATAAGCTCTAAAAATCCCATGTGATACAGGCTCTACAACCTCCCCAGGCAAGTGAATCTATTGCTTTGCTCTCCTTACAGTTCAAAATGATTTCTAATGCCTAACCTAACTCTCCCTTTCTGCCAAAAATCACACTAATTTAATTTACTAATGGATACGGTTGGTAAGTGTATACTTATTATTCTGTGATTAGTCTTTGTCTGGCGTGAACTTTACTCTGAGGTGACATTAGGATCAGATAAGTGAACTGCGGGATGCTTCTTTTCACACAGATGAAATAAGGGAAAGACAGTGGTTAATATTTGTTAAACAACAGGGGCTGCTTCCTCTTCTGATAGTCCTTCCATTGCAACAGAACTGTTGCTGTGAAGTTGTATCTGAACTGCTGTAAACATTGTCACAACGTTTAAATTTTACAGCTACACTGAGCGCTGCTTGCTGTCAACAGTTTTCAGTGGAGAAAGCTTATTGCCTGCCTTGCTAAATAAACTCTTCAGTAATCTAAGAGAAGATGCTCATAAAGTATCCCATTTTGTGTATCTTTCTGTTTGAAGGCTGCAGTCTTTAGTGTCTTTTCATTTCTTCTGGTGTAATTCCTGTGTAGTTAATGGAGTCTCCTCAGTGCAGTAGCTGACAGCACTGCACAGTGCTGTTTTCAGCTGTGGTCTTGTCATCTGTTCAGTGTCAGCTAACAAGCATTAGTACTGGAATAGTACAGCAGTGCTAAATGGCTGCCAAACCTTTTATAATCTACATACCAGTATTATTTTCATTTTAATGTTCCATCCTTCTGCGGACCACTTTGCATTACTGCAGTCTTTCTAACTGAGTCAACTACTCAATGACCAGACCTGTTGACTTTTATCCAGAATGAATGAGTTGTATCAAAGATGGGAGGGCCTCGCCCTTTCTTCAGTGGCCTGGCAGATCCCTAGACCTCTGTTACTAGAGAGCAGCTTTAAACTGTGGTTGAAGATTCAGAGGTTTTATTTCCTGCCCAACCAAATTTTAGGCCTTGCTGACCAATACTACACAGACTATGCATAGCTTTTATTGCTGCTACCAGTGTCCCCAGCAGATTTCTTGTCAGGTCTGCTGAGTATCAGGTGCCAGTCAGAAAAAAACAAGAAATATTTCCTCTATTTGTGCAATATCCCACTGCAGAGAGGGCTTAGGCCACCTAGCCTGAAGGAGACAGGTATGATGGTTATGCTCTACTTCCCCCTTCATTGTTTTCTTTGAAGAGCTCGTCAGAAGTCTGAATTGTGTGTTGTCAGAAGAAGCCATAGTTTGAGAACAATCTGGAAGCTGCCTCAACAGTTACCCTATTTTTTTTTAATGTGAGATCATTCATGTGTAGATACTGCAAATTTGAGGGTACACCATTGCTGTAGACAGCAGGAGCCTAAATGAATTTTTGATTTAGACTGACTACTTTCATCAAGCCTGAGTGGGAGTCAGATTTGATAGCCTCCCAGGTGGAAGACCACCTGATGATCTCACTATTGACCATGTGTTTGGTGTTTGGGAATCGTTGTGGGCCCAGGGATTAGGTGGATCTCACCAGAGAGATCTCCAAAGGTAGTAAACTCTGCAGAGGTGGACTGATGTGTGAGAAATCGCAGTGTGGATGTTGCACCTGGAACTAAACTGAGACAGATAGTTTGTTTGCAAGCCTCTGAAGTCAGGGGCTCTGGGCACAGCCAGGTTTCCAGCAAAAACTGTTGCAGCTAAAGGGAACAGGAGAAAGCCTTGTGAATGAAAGGCAGTAGCAGGACTCAAGACGTGACTGTATATGACTTCAGTTAAACAAAAATCATCAATACTTGAGCATGTATAGAAGGAAGAATCCACCTCTGGCTCTTGGTAGACAATAGCAGGTAGGAGTAAAGGACCCCATTCAGTGGAGAAAGTGCGGTGATTTATGAGGGAAGACAAGTCCAAATACACTCAGTTACTCAGTTTTGTGCCTCTGGTCACACTTCCTTCAGAGTGGTTGAGCCCTGGAGAATGGCGAAAGAGCAAGGAGAATAAGGCCCTCAGGGGTACTCTTTAGCCACAAAAAAGAAAATTCCTGAATTCCTCACCACCACAGAGGCTTCAGCCCTCTAGGCAGTCACATAACAGGTGGTGGAAAGATTAAGTGAGGTGGCAAAAACTCTACAGCAGAGCAGAAATTAAGAGTACCCTGGTCAGAGCTGGGAAGGAGTTCAAGGCTTGAAAATTCTTCTAGCATGCTGACTCACTCAAGGCAAATCAAAGGCTTTCCCTGGCAAGTGCTGTTCACACATCCAGATTCTCAGCTTTCATTTAGAGGAGTTATGTGAGTTCTCACAGGGCTGAAGAAAGCAGCTTCCTTAGCAATGGCACCCACAGTGAGGTGCCAGCCTCTCAGTGCTGCATGGTGTTGCTGTAGCCCAGCTGTCCCTTGCTCAGCACCTCTTCTGGGTGCAAAGGGATCACCAGCTCCCCATTTTCTAAGGCTACTGGTCAGAGCTGGCTGAGCAGCAGCAAACCTGGCAAGCATTATACCAGTTTCGTGAAGCAGCACAGGAAAACTCCAGAAGCAGCAACAGCTCACAGCCTGGGGCTGCTCACAAGACCATGGGATGGGAGCGATCCTGCTTGCCCAGAACACGTCTCCAGTGGTTATACTGGTCTTGTCCCAATATATAACAGATGAACTTAGCAGTAAAAGAGTCTGTTTTTCTCCCCTGGCTATCCATGTGAATAAGATGTGACTACTTGTATTGCCTGTATGAGTCCTACCTGGAAAGTGTAGGAAATCCATAAAGCTAAAAACACAGTAAAGAAGCAGAAACACCTTTCTCTACCAATGGACTTAAGAAAGTGGTGGCAGAATTTTCATGCCGCAGATAGGGGCATATCAGATCCAGAAGGAAAGAAAGTAGTCTCCAAAGCACAATCCTTATCCTAGCTGGAAGCTAATTAGAAATGCACCAGGCCAGAGAAGGGTTTATGTCCAGTCTCTTAATAGGTATCTCAGTGCCTGTGTTTCCAGGCAGCTAAGAAGACTTCTGCAGTAAACTCCCTGACATCAGTTCAATCTTTTGTATGGTTTTAAGGCTCAGTTCTTCAGCTCATAGGTGACTGACAAATTCCCAAATGGTATATGCTAGTGGGTGGGCAGATGCGTGGCTTAATCCTGCCCCAGCTGCAGCATAGTGCTACATCAAGCAAGAAACTGTAAACCTGTTCTGGTTACCAGGCACTGGTATCTGCCTCAGCTCTCTGAGCTATTGATGTGCTTTTCAAGGGGAGTGTTCCTGCAGCCTCTTCTCATGCACATGTTTTGCATTATCTATATATTACTTGCTTTATAGCAATTATTTCACACTTTCATTAAGCTGGATAAATGAGAGTTTGCTATAATTAAAAGGTGTTAGCTAACCTACCTAAAAAGGATTTGCCTTACCTAAGCAGAGCTTTTGGGCCCAAGCAGTGTGTTAAAACATGTATTATGGTGTTAAACCATATATTCCCAACAACATTTAAGACTGCACATTGCTGTTTGTTTCTATAAACTATTAAGGGTAGACTGAAAGATTGCATGCTGCTGGGTTTTAAGACAGAGGAACTCTGAACACTAGGTCAATCAATACAAGCCTGCTGAATTGTCCCTGGTGTTGGGACAATTCATCCTTGTCACAATAACTCAAATTGCCTCCTTATCTCTTTTCTGGTGGCTTTTAGATACTCATGACAGCTTAAGGCTACATGAATCGCCCACTGCAGGTGCTGTTCTCCCCCCAAGTTCTAGGGGGGATCCCATTAAAGCCTCAAGCTGAACTCTCATATAAGTAGACCTACTTAGCAAGCTCCTTTGTGTTCCAGCCTAGGGACTTAATAGTAACTCACTAGTCAGGATTTTTAAAGTGTTTTGATTACAGTTCTGCTCTTGCTCCTCATGTCAGAATCCAGAGTAATTTTGATCCACTTTGGGTTTCTCAAAGGAGCAATGGTGTTAACAGCACTGACAGTGGGAGATGTAAGTGAAGAGAGTTTGTGAAGAGAGGTGGTATCTTCTACTAATTTTTACATTGGTTAATTTGGATTTCAGTTTTCTGACCTGCATTTTTCATGTCCTAAATACCAAGCATTGACATATGCCTTCTTATGCTAGATCTTTTCTAACTATATTGGAAGAGCTAAATTGGTATTGCTGCAATATTTTAATTGCCATTTACATTTCCTTTTAAAGATCCCACTGTCTGGCTGGTAATGTTTTCAAGTACCTGAGAACATTCTAAATCTGGTGTCTAGCTTCCAGTCTGTACTTCCTTTTGCACATCTGTGACCCACTGGTAGTAAAATACGTGGTGTATTGCAGAGTACTATTAATTGTTATTAAACGTGACTGTGAATCTGGCACATCCTGGTGATAATATTTAGCAAATTCTTGACATGCTCAGTCTTTGAAGAAGGAAAGAATGGATAATTTTGAGGGGGAGAGATGTGCCACTTGCATTTCTGTAAGAGGACTGTGTGTGCATGCCGTACCTGTGAATTTTTTGGTACTTTGCTCAAGACAGGATTCTGTATTTTGCATGTGGAACTGCTGTAACTGGCTGCAAATCTGCAGGAAAAAAAGTCCCAAGAATCAGCTTTTGATTCTTGATTTTGAACAGGTTTGTTGCCCTTCAATGACATATATGGACAGCAATATTTGAGCAGCATGGAATATGCCTCTTTTTAACTTGCAAAGAGATGTACTTTCAAGAATGCAGTTTTAACCATTTTATTTCTGTTGTTTTTGGTTTTATTTTCAGTCTTACCTCCTGTACTCGTTCCAAGACACAGCGAGTTTAACCCTCACCTCAGCCTCCTCGCCAAGTTTCGAAACACTTCTCTGCACAGTGAGCCACTGATGCCGCACAATGCCACTTATCCTGATTCTTTCCAGCATCCTCCATGCACCCCTTTTCCGTCATCACCCAGCCACATGTTTTCCCAGTCACCTAACAGCATCAGCTATCCCAACTCACCAGAAAGCTCTTCTGGACCAGGAAGTCCCTATCAGCTCACAGGTAATAATGAGCTTTTAGACATCCTGACTGAGGTTTTTGCCAGGGCCTGGAGTCAGGTGACAATTCTGTATGCTTCCCCCAGGCTGTAGCTACAGATTGAACTGTTGGACAGAGTGGACTTGGAATGTGATTTCTTGTGACTGCCTCTTGTGTATTTGACTCCCAGTCCTTCTGGCGATGGATGCTCAAGGGACTAAGAATTGTAGTCATCACACTCCTAGAAGAACCTGGGTGAGATTTCATGATTACTGTAAGGAGGAAGTTGAGGAGAGAAGCAGGTGTGCCAGGCCACCTTCTGTCTAAAGCCGTCCATCCAAGCTTCCAATACAATTCATGGAAAAGAGCACTTGCAAGACCCAAGTAATGGACCTAAGATGGTCAGGGTAGGAACCTTTAGAAACTCCATCAGGAGAGAGGATAAAATGGGGAAATTGGTGTGCAGAAATATTTTTAAATGTGTGGTGATCCCACTGACTGTATAAATTTCAGGAAATACAGGTGTTTACCAATCTGGCCCAACACTTGTGGAAGCCACTAGGAACATTCCTATGACTTTGGAATGCGTTCCACAGTTCTGAGATTGGCAGGGTTGTGTCACTCAGATTGTTTGTGTTGTGAACTCCTTAGTACTGCTCTGATTACCTGAAAATTTAACTATGCATTTGCTGTTAATGCAACACAGCTGAGAGGTAGTTTTAATATCAGAACATGTTTCAGATTCACTTCTGCACTTTAACTTTCAAATAATTTCAGTGATCTCAGCTTTTTCAAAGAAGATGAATTCAGGTCAGAATCTTGTAGCTTAAAATTTTAGTATCTCATCTGGAAAGTGTTTAAATTCATGTCCTTAATGACATGCCTATTTTCATTTTAAGTGCAAGAAGTTTACTTTTACAAGGTATTTGTAGTATTTGAACTTCCTTTTAAGCTGGATACTTTCAACACAGTTTTTCCTTCCCTCTCCATTCATTGAATATGCCTTCATTAATTTCTTCTCTAGATCTGTATTTCAGATTAAATCATATTTAGCAACACTGAAACACTTCATCAAGTAGTAAGACTTGTTTTTCTTCTCCGATATTTTTTCTCTCACCTCTGTGTAACCAAGCTGGATTCAGTGGAGCTGGTCCTGACAGGTAAATCAGGCCCATTCCAGATATGTAATGACTCTGACTCGTGCATTTAACTGAACTTGGGACCTTGCAAAGCTACTTAAAAATGGAAGTGGCTCAACCTGAGCTTCAGTATATCACAGCACATGGCATGCTGATAAGCATAATTTGCCTGTGTAACAATCAGTGATGGAAGCAAACTGGAGTTACATCAAGAACCTTGAGCAGGATTGCTGTGACAAAATATAGATGTCAGCTATGCTACTTTCTGCATCTCATGCAATTCTCTATACTCTCCTATAATCAGTGGAGAAAAACAGGCACTCCTACAACAGGATTCATTGCATCTTCTTGTATATGTTTTAGGTACCTGAGATACACTGTGTCTGCAGGTGCCTATGTTTATGTTGTGGGTAAGAGCTTGTGGTGACTATCTTAGGCATAGACATCAAAAATAGCCATATAACCACATGACTGTGTGATTATATTCCTTTCTGTGACTTGTTTTCCACTATTTCTTGATTTTGTTCTACCATTCTCGCTTGTATTTTATGTGGGAGGCTTATGTCATCCATATGTTAGAAGTATCATATGGTGTATGAAATTCCTAAATCCTGAACAGTGCTTAAGTAAAATTACATTCCTGTTCAGTTAAGATTCAGTGGTTGTCTTATGAGACAGTTCACAGTCATCCACCTCCAGATGAAGTTGCTCTGTTTTGAGGGCCAGCCAACAGACCCCAAACACAAAGAGGGAATTTCAATCTGGAACTTAATTAAACAGTGCTTAAAGTGATCCATACTCCTACAAGCTTCTATATTGGCTATAATTAGCACATAAGCCCACAGAGTTTCTGTTCAAATGAACAAAACTACATGCTTTTAGTGCTTATGCAGTGAATGTTGACATTTTTTTAATTTAAAAATGAAGATCTTTTTTCTTTGGCTTCTTTTTTGAAGCCTTCTGTCTTTCTTGAGAATCCCTGCTATAGAGTCACCTATTTTCTATCTCATGTTGCTGGAAACAACAGCCACCTTGTTTGGGCAGGTTGAGAGTTGATATTTTTCTGCTAATGTTTTTATCACATGCATTGCTCTTTGACAGGAGATGGAACAAACTGGGAGAGGGACAGACTTCCCTTGTAGGACAGAGGTAAAAAAAACAAATCTGGAGGGAGTTTTGCCAAGTCTGATTTTAAGAGTGTAAATGCTTTCCATAGGTTTTTTTTTATAGACTGTGAAGAGAGCTTTCTCCCAGAGGATCATTTAAAGTTAGCTTCTCTTAAATCATCTCCTTAAGTTTTAAATTAATGAGAGAAGTCTGGAACTGAAGGATCAAACTTCATTACTTTTGTGGTGTAGCAATTGGTGTTAAGAGAGAACTTGACACAGAACTTGCCTCTGGGCCTGAGGCACTGTTGCGACTGTCCCTCTCACAAGTGCTGCAAGCCCAACATGACAGCCCTTCCTTCCCATCTCCTCTGAACACACAATGGTCTTAATGTAGAGACTGAAGGAAGGTCAGGTTCAGATTTGTGCTATTTTCAGCCTTTCTAGCAAAACAATGCCAAAGAAATAAAATATTCACCAGGAAAAACCAAGAAGGAATTTACCAAAATACTGATTTAGGTTTCTTTTTCTTTCTTTCCCTTTTTCTTTCTTTTTCTTTCTTTCTGTTTCTTTCTTTCTTTTTTCTTTTTCTTTCTTTCCCTTTTTCTCTTTTTCTTTTTCTTTCTTTCCCTTTTTCTCTTTTTCTTTTTATTTTTCTTTTTCTTTGTCTTTTTCTTTTTCTTTTCCTTTTTCTTTTCATTTTCCTTTTCCTTTTTCTTTTCCTTTTTCTTTCATTTTCTTTCTTCTTTCTTTCTTCTTTTTTGTCTTTTTCTTTCCTTTTTTGTCTTTTTCTTTCTTTCATTTTCTTTCATTTTCTTTCATTTTCTTTCATTTTCTTTCATTTTCTTTCATTTTCTTTCATTTTCTTTCATTTTCTTCTCTCTTTTTCTTTCATTTACTTTCTCTTTCTTTCTCTCTCTTTCCTTCTATTTCTTTCTTTTCCTTTCTTTCTTTCTTTTGTATTTTTTCTTTTTTCTTCTTTTTTTCTTTCTTTCATTTCTTTCTCTTTCTTTCTTTTGTTTCTTTTCCTTTCTTTCTTTTGTTTCTTTTCCTTTCTTTCGCTTTTTCTTTTCCTTTCTTTCGCTTTCTTTTCCTTTCTTTCGCTTTCTTTTCCTTTCTTTCGCTTTCTTTTCCTTTCTTTCGCTTTCTTTTCCTTTCTTTCGCTTTCTTTTCCTTTCTTTCGCTTTCTTTTCCTTTCTTTCTTTTGTATTTCTTTCTTTTTTTCTTTCTTTTTCTTTTTCTTTTTCTTTTTCTTTTTCTTTTTCTTTTTCTTTTTCTTTTTCTTTTTCTTTTTCTTTTTCTTTTTCTTTTTCTTTTTCTTTTTCTTTTTCTTTTTCTTTCTTTTCCTTTCTTTTCCTTTCTTTTTCTATTTCTTTTTCTTCCTTTTGCTATCTTTCTTTTTCTTTCCTTTTTTTTTTCTTTGTTTATTTCTTTTCTTTCTTTTCTTGTTTCTTTTTGTTTCTTTTTCTTTCCCTTGCATTCGTTTTCTTTCTCTTACTTTTTCTTTTTCTTTTTCTTTTTCTTTTTCTTTTTCTTTTTCTTTTTCTTTTTCTTTTTCTTTTTCTTTTTCTTTTTCTTTTTCTTTTTCTTTTTCTTTTTCTTTTTCTTTTTCTTTTTCTTTTTCTTTTTCTTTTTCTTTCTTTTGGTAACTTTCTTTTTCTTTTGCTTTTTTTTCTTTTTCTTTTCTTTCTTTTTTCTTTCTTTTGCTATCTTTATTTTTCTTTTTTTTTCTTTTTCTTTCCTTTTTTCTTTCTTTTTCTGCCGTTTTCTTTCTCTTGCTTGCTTTCTTTCTTTTGCTTGCTTTCTTTCTTTCTTTGCTTTCCTTCCTTCCCTCCCTCTCTCTCTCCTTCTCCCTTCCCTTCCCTCTCTCCTACTTGCTCCCTTCACTTCCCTCTCCCTTTCTTTCTTCCAGTGGAAACTCCACCTCCACCCTACCACACAAGAGAACCTGCAGGAATCCACAATGGACGGTCAATGGATGCAATAGCTGAAAGTCAACTAGTGCTTTCTTTGCCCAATGGAGGTAAATCTGCCGATGGAGAAGCTGAAAGTAAATAACCATTTGTACTATTTTTTACATAAAAACTATTGAGAAAAATAATTGTCATTTGAACAAGAGGGTTCAGTGGTCTCTACTAATAGGTTTCAGGCAGTTCTGCAGTAAGGCTCTGTGCTAGACCCATCCATTACCTAGCAGAATAGGTTGATGTAAGAATACCATGTATTATGTGCAAAGTTACAGAGTTTAGACTCTGTATTTTGTATTTTTATTTGTATTTTTGTACTTTAAGTACTTTATGTAGTTTATTTGTATCTATGTACTATTACATTTAAAAGCTGTTCATGAAAGCAAGCCCTATTATCTACATCGTAAAGATAAACATATCAAAACAAGCATGGTGCGGCAGTATAACACACAAAAGCATTATCAATATCAGAACTCATTGTTTTTACCACCTTCAGCTCTGGGTTTCCAGTACTTTAAAGTCTTGTGGTAGGAACCTTTTTGCTGCCATCTTTATATAAATGTTACATTACTGACTGGCTAGGAAAGAAAAGGACATGTTCTAGTGAAGTACAAAGATTTTTACAGAAGACCAACCTCTGTCCTCTGATGAGAATGCTTTAGTGGGAGAGGGCAAGGATGGTCAGAGAAGAAGGGGCTGGGATCCTCCTTGCACTTGATGTCATCTCCATCATAGTCTCTGCTACCTTTGCACTATCACTGGCAAATAATGCCTCCACTATTCAAAGCCCGTTGCTGCAGAGTACCAAGGGGAAATGGAGTTCCTCTGCTGGGTTTTACTTTGGCTTCCTGCTACTGCAAATGAAAAATCAGCATTGTTCTTTTAGTCCATCATATTGTATTCTTAAAGAAATGTAGTTTATAGAATGAGGACTGAACACTGTGCACACACATGCACATTAAAAAAATATTGCCACTTCTTTTGAAAAAAGGAGAAGGCTGTATGTAGCATGGAACTGGAGCAGAAGGAAGATGAGGGGGATAGTGCTTATTACAGATGGGTACACAAAATGGCCAGATAATAATAAGTTATCAGACACTAATACTTTTAAATAAATTGTCAAGCTACTTTAATCTCTTTATCATATTTTACCATCCCTGATCACTATCCTAGTGAATATTAGGAGTTTATTAGAGGTTATGCACAGAGGTGCTCTGGGGGCAGGCAGGCTCATATGCCTGTGGTGAACAGGAAGGATAAGGTTTCCTTCTAATTTCTGTAGGACAAATGAGGCTCAGAGATTCTGTTACATTTTTTAATCTGTCTCTACCTTAGAAAACCTGGACATGGGTAGATCGAAAAGAAATGACCTTGCTGACATTTCTGCTTATGATCCTACATGGAAGCAGAAAGCCTGAAAGCATCTAAAAATTGAGGGTGGGAGGTGGGGGGAGTTATTTATTACTTCTGAACTACAGAGTTTGGTGTTAGGCTGAAGGCTTGCCTTAGTTTTGACTTGCTTTGAGCCCATCTGTCATCCCTAGCTCCTGCTGGTGTGTAGAGGTATCCCTTACTATTTTAAGTGTATAGTTTGGGTCCCAGTTCAGCGAGGAATGTCTGTGCTGGATTTAATGCAGTGGAGTTACCATTTTTAAGAAGCAGAGCTCCTCAGAGGCTTAGAGTTGAGCTGGTGCATCAAACTTTTGCATGTTTGGGACTTCACGAAAATAAGTTAAGAAGCAAGGGAAGCTGCTTTTGAGATAAAGCATGACATAAGTGACTGTTCAGATGAAGAGATGAGGGCCTGAGAATGTGTGGGAGGAAAGAAAACAGAGAAGGATTGTTTAAAAAATATTACTGAGACCTGAGCAGCTGACTAACTTTATTTCCTACAGACTTTCGGCCTGTTTGTTATGAGGAACCCCAACACTGGTGCTCAGTTGCCTACTATGAACTCAACAACCGCGTAGGGGAGACTTTCCAGGCTTCCTCTCGAAGCATCCTTATAGATGGATTTACAGATCCCTCAAATAACAAAAACAGGTTCTGCTTGGGTCTGCTCTCAAATGTAAATCGCAACTCTACTATAGAAAACACCAGGAGACACATAGGAAAAGGTAAGAGGAAATCCCTTCTTGGGAATATTCAGAACTCAAAAGATCCACACATTGCATTAACACACCTATCTGATTTGTCAAATGTGCTTGTTTTAAAATAAAAGCTCTGAGATTATTCTGAAATAGAAGAAAAGCATCTGATTCTTTTCTGACTGGATAACAATCAGCAGAGTAACTCCTTACAAAAGCTATTTACTTGGCCAGCGAAGAGAAAAATGTTGTTTATAGTTATGTGTTCTAATTTAGCAGTATAATAAATAATTTTCATTTATTTATTAGAGCTTCTGGCAACTGGGAATATTGCCATCGAAATGCCACTACAAGGGTAATTGCTGGTGCCTCAGGGCTGGTTCTCTTCCCACCAAATAACAAAGGGAGATGGATGAAACACTTAGTAGTTGAGTTACTTAGCTGAAGAACTCTACTGGAGTTGTCTTTGCAGCTCCCCCTCACCCCTCCACCCCTTGCTGCCACCACCAGTCTGATTCCCTGCTTTGCCAACTTTTCACCAGTAAAACCAATTCTCCCGCCAGTGGTTTTCTATGTATGCTCCACTTCTGGTGCACAGCATGCAGAATCATATGCTGCCAGTGAGAGACCACACCTGGACATACGTGGCCATACACCGTCTGTCCCAGCTCGCTGGGGCTGTGTAGGGCCTGATACTCTCCCAGAACTTACTGTTGTTTGTGATGGTGAGTCAGAAGCCCTGTGCCAGCCACTTCTCCGTGCAGATGAAGCTGTTCATGTTCTGGTATATCCAGTCTAGACTCATTATCTTGCCAACCCAGCCTCGCACCAGTAGCTACCTGGGAATGTATTTCCCACTGGGCTAATTAACTCTAATTGTTCCACTGCTATTATCTTGTCAACCTCACCTCATTTCCCAGGCCTAGAGCAATATTTTAATTGGCTCTTGATAGTCTAGCGTTGAATGACTGAATACAAGGAAGCTCTGAGACAAATATGATACAGTTTTTACAAACAGCAGTGAATCTGAAGGCTGGTGCAGGAGACGATGTGCTTCACTCTTGCACTTTTCTCTGGGAGGGAAAGCACTTGTGTTGCAGATGCATTGTGTGAAGCCAGTTTGATGCTACAAGTGTCTGTCATAGTGGTTCGTTGTGAGAGGTGCAAATGTAGTTCCAACTTAGTAAATAAAGCAAAGCTTCCCTATCAGTGTAAGTTGTCAGAGCGATGTAGATGAAAGATGAGCCTGGCCCTAAAAGAATGACAAAAGATCCCAGCTGTCCTTTGAGGATGTTACATCCTGTGACTTTCTGCCCCAAAAGAGGAAGAGACAGAACAGAAATAAAATTAGGTAAATGCTAATGGTCTTCATCCATTTAAACCTGAAGATCTGTCTTCATTGCTTAAAAGTCCTTTAAAGTCCTACACTAGGAATCTGCCCAAGGGAAGGGAGCAGGCTGCCCACAAAGGAGTTTAGTTTATCAGAGATCCTTGATTTTACTGCTCTTGCCTGTTTATGCAAATCTTAAAAAAACATATACAAGTGGAGTGCAAGTGGCACCAGCACAAGCCTGCAGAAGAGCACAGAGCAGCTCCAAAATGTGTAGTTCAAAGGCATGGTGGACAGATGAAAGCTACTGAAATGGATACAATTGTCACATGTTAACAGGGGAGAAAAAAGAGTGAGTAAACAAGATTAGCTCAGTAGGATAAGGATATGTGATTGAATTGTCATCTAGTGTATCAGCGTGAAACGGTTTCCTGGAAATACCACATCAAAGCTAAAAACAATCCAGAACACAATGCAACATCTACTAGCAATTGGACCTGTTTCAGCAGTCAGACTTCAAGGACAAAAAAGGGACTTTTGATCAGTGTCAAAAAGATGTGGATGCTTGAAGTCTGCAGAATTTCCAGTTTCTGCATGGAGCAGTGAAATCCCAATAAAACATACGGACCCTTGATTTGGTCTTCTACAAATATGTATCTAGCAGCTTGGTTTCCTTGAGGGTGCTTTCCTTTGGTGAATGAATACTAGAAGAATAGAAATACATGCTGATATTTCATTACTGCTGTATTTATTGCTTTTAAAAAGTCCGCAAGGAAAAAGCAATTTGTAGCATATTCTTTTGGGACTGACATTGGTGGTTTTGTTACTATAGCACACTGTTTGGGCAATGCCTTTGAAAGCATTAATTTTTTTCAGAAAATGAGTTACTCAATATACTTCAAAAAAACAGCCTTTAAAATTTTTCACCTTAGGACCATAAAGTGTGGTGACCCTAAATCAGTAGCCACACTTGAAGATTTGAAATATGGTGAATATTTATGTCTTTATTCTTCTCTCCTTGCCCTCTGTTCTTACTCTATCTGATTATTTCATAAAGTTATACGGACTCCATCAAGGTCCTTCATGTTTTCAGTCCTTCCCTTTTATGCATTTCCAAGGTAAGGAAAGGAGAGTAGGCCAAGTAACAGCAGTCACAGTGTGCAGCACCCCACAGTGTCTGGCATGGTCGTAGCAGACCTGAGGACTGGTGGAATGGAGCGATCCCCTCCCCTGTGTTCCCAGTGAAGCACCAGTGTGTGTTTTGAGCCACACCCCCACCGCTTGCATCTCATTTGAGATCTTGTGGATGCACAGAAGTCAAGTGGTGGCTTGAAGACAGACTTTAAGGTTCCTGTCTGAGTCACCCTAGAAAACTGTGGGAGAACATATTTTTCCCAGATTCCTTTCCCACTCAACCTGCTTTTCCCTGAGCCTTTCCCACTTCTGTTTAGAGGCTGGTTTTGTCCTAAGGATGTGCTGGGAACACACATGAATAGACTGGGAATATGTAACCAGTCTTTTTTTATGAAAGACACCAGGAATAAAAGTAATTTCAACTGCATTATTAAAGCATAGTTATCACTAGCTTTGCAGACAGTCCACTGAGGCTCTGTGAAAATGTGCATTTGTATGTAAGCGTCTGAATGCGGTACCTGGGATTAGAGAGGAAGATTTTACATTTATTTGGTGGTGGGTTTTATGAGAAAAAAGAACTGAGTTCTTCCACCTCTCTTGTCCATGGGAGGGGTTCATTTCCCTTAATCCAGCCATGGGAAAGGTGACTGCCTGGGTATTTTCACAGGATGACTTGGCCCCTTTCAGGATATGGCTTCATGCTCCCATTTAAGTGGGCTGGGTCCCTATTGCCATGCTTGCACTGATGAAGATCTCACTGCAAACAAATTTTGTGGGTTTTTTTTTCATTTTTAAGTTTATTAGCTGGTTCCCAATCCTCAGCCATTGTTGCCAGCATGAAAGCAGGTGTGAGAAGAAACAGCAGGGGCGGGGAATGGGAGAGCCTTTTCAGCACCTGCACAGACTTCTATGGGGTTAAGCTGGCTGTGAGCCTGAACTCTGTAGCAAATGCAGTGAATCGTCTGGTCACAGTCCCTCTCACATATCAGCTAGGGATGGAGTCTACACAATTAGCTTACACAAGATTCCTAAGTTTAAGGTTGCTGAATTAGACTAAGATAAATTCTCATAGCACATTAGGTATATTTTCATGCAAGCAGATATCCTGAGGGGATCAGACTGTTTGAATGGATAGAAGTGCTTCCACCTTCATTTCCCTAAGGCACAGTAGAAATTTGAAAGTTCAGAATAAAATCAGTCCTTTTCTTGCTAAAGGTCACTTGGAACAGGATCTGATGAGTCAGTCACATCATGTAAATGCAGATACTCAGTTCTGATGTGACGGATAAAGCAAAATACAGAAAAGCTATTTTAAGTACACACTATGCTGTGTTTTAACTGTATGACATAGGATCCTGTAGTAAAATAACAGCGTGCAGTGAAGTGGGTTTTGGTTAGCATGCATGTGCTCAACAGAGAAAGTACACTTAGATATGTAATCTAATACTGATTTTTCAGTTCTTGGATAGTTTTGATTCATGCTTTGTATATGGTTGACACGTGTTTGATATTTATGTATGTGTCTAGGTATGTGTATGTGTGTCTTGTCAAAATACTGTGCTGTTGGGTAAAAGACGTAAACCAGGTTTCACTGAAAAACAAAAATACCACCTTCCAAGACTTTTGTCTCCTAGACCAGTACCTCAAAATAGTGTTTATGACATTTTCCTCCTAATGTTGGTGGTCCCTTGTACAGTACATGGATATGCACACGTTTTACTATCTTCTAAAAGGTAATGCGTATCTGCATTGATCCTGGGTTTGTATGACAGGATAAAAGAAAAAATTACCCATGTCAAGTGTGTTGTGAAAACATTATATTTTCTTTTTCAAGGTGTTCATCTTTACTACGTTGGTGGGGAAGTTTATGCTGAATGTGTCAGTGACAGCAGTATTTTTGTGCAAAGCCGCAACTGTAACTACCAGCATGGTTTCCACCCAGCCACTGTCTGCAAGATCCCCAGTGGCTGCAGCCTCAAGATCTTCAACAACCAGCTCTTCGCCCAGCTGCTTGCCCAGTCAGTCAATCATGGTTTTGAAGTGGTGTATGAGCTGACCAAGATGTGTACTATTCGAATGAGCTTTGTTAAAGTAAGGATTATTTGTTTTCTCTTGCATTTCCGAAAAGGCAAATCCCATTACTTTGTAGCTCCCATCAAATCATTTCTGAAGCAATTCAGACTGCCTCTTTTCCAGTATTGCCTTAAACTTCAAGAAGGAAGTCTAGAGTGCACAGGAACAGGCTGTACCAGTGTGCCAAAAGGCAAGCCGGCGAGGTAGGCGACCAGCTTGGTTGAACAGGGAGATTCTGAAGGAAATCAGGGATAAAAAGAGAGCTTACAGACTATGGAAAATAGGGCTGGCTACTCAGGATGAGTTTAGGAGTATAACTAGGTCATGCAGAAAGAAAATTAGAGAGGCAAAAGCGCAATTTGAAGTCAATTTGGCTACTTCTGTTAAGGATAACAAAAAGCGCTTCTATAAATACATTAATAACAAAAGGAGGGGCAAGGAAAGCCTCCATTCCTTGTTGGACTTGGGGGGGAACATAGTTAACAGGGATGAGGAGAAGGCTGAGGTACTTAACACCTACTTTGCCTCAGTATTCACCAGTAGAACAGATGGCCCTCAGGACAACTGTCCTCTGGAGCTGGTAGACAGGGACAGGAAGCCAAACAGCCCCCCTGTATTCCAGGAGGAAATAGTCAGTGACTTACTGAGCCACCTGGATCCACACAAGTCCATGGGACCAGATGGGATCCATCCTAGGGTAATGAGGGAGCTGGCAGAAGAGCTTGCCAAGCCGCTCTCCATCATTTACCAACAGTCCTGGCTCTCCAGGGAGATGACTGGAAGTTGGCGAATATCACTCCGATCTACAAAAAGGGCTGCAAGGAGGACCCGGGAAACTACAGGCCTGTCAGCCTGACCTCAGTGCCTGGCAAGGTTATGGAGCAGATCATCGTGCGTGCAATCACACAGCACCTACAGGATGGACAAGGGATCAGAGCCAGCCAGCACGGGGGGCAGGTCCTGTCTGACCAACCTGATCTCCTTTTACGATCAGGTGACCCACCTGGTGGATGAGGGTAAGGCTGTGGATGTGTCTGTCTGGACTTCAGCAAAGCCTTTGACACTGTCTCCCATAATATACTCCTGGAAAAGCTGGCAGCCCATGGCTTGGACAGGGGCACTCTCTGCTGGGTTAAGAACTGGCTGGAGGGCTGGGCCCAGAGAGTGCTGGTGAATGGGGCTGCATCCAGCTGGCAGCCGGTCACCAGTGGTGTCCCCCAGGGATCAGTGCTGGGCCCAGTCCTGTTTAACATCTTTATCGATGATCTGGATGAGGGGATTGAGTTCATCATTAGCAAATTTGTAGACCAAGTTGGGAGGGAGTGTCGACCTGCTGGAAGGCAGGAGGGCTCTGCAGAGGGACCTGGATAGGCTGGAGAGTTGGGCTGATTCCAACGGGATGAGGTTCAACAAGGCCAAGTGCCAGGTCCTGCACTTTGGCCACAACAACCCTGCAGCGCTACAGGCTGGGGACAGAGTGGCTGGAGAGCAGCCAGGCAGAAAGGGACCTGGGAGTGCTGGATTGACAGGAAGCTGAACATGAGCCAGCAGTGTGCCCAGGGGACCAAGAAGGCCAATGGCATCCTGGCCTGCATCAAGAACATGTGGGCCAGCAGGAGCAGGGAAGTGATCCTTCCCCTGTACTCAGCACTGGGGAGGCTGGAGTATTGTGTTCAGCTCTGGGCCCCTCAGTTCAGGAAGGATATTGAAGTGCTGGAGCAGGTCCAGAGAAGAGCAACCAGGCTGGTGAAGGGATTTGAGCACAAGTCCTATGAGGAGAGGCTGAGGGAGCTGGGGTTGTTTAGTCTGGAGAGCAGGAGGCTCAGGGGTGACCTCATCACTCTCTACAACTCCCTGAAAGGAGGTTGTAGCCGGGTGGGGGTCGGTCTCTTCTCCCAGGCAATCAGTAATAGGACAAGAGGGCACGGGCTTAAGCTCTGTCAGGGGAGGTTTAGGTTGAATATTAGGAAGAAATTTTTTACAGAGAGGGTAATCAGGCATTGGAATGGGCTGACCAGGGAGGTGGTGGATTCACCGTCCCTGGAGGTTTTTAAGATGAGGCTGGATGTGGCACTGAGTGCCATGATCTAGTAATCACAGTGGGGTTGGATCAAGGGTTGGACTTGATGATCTCGGAGGTCTCTTCCAACCCAGTTGATTCTATGATTCTAGGTCCTTACAATCATTAGTTTTGAGATCAACGTGGAAATTCCTTAGATTCCAAAATCTGGGTATTCCATAGGCTCTCTATGGAAAATAGTCAGAGAATGCATGGTGGAGTTCCCCCATTGATTGGACAAAAAGCTCAACTTGGAAGGGCTTAGCAAAATGTAAATGTCTTGGGCAGTTGTGATCTCTCATTGTTATGGGTTTGCAATAGAGCTTGATAGAGCCACAGGTCAATCTATCCATTTTTCTCTAGGCTAATTTACAGTCTCAGCAGTACTATAGACTGATATATATGGTCTCAGTCAAGAAACACTGGGTCCTTCTTTATCCCCTACTGAGTTTGCAGGGAATTGTTTGTCATCTGCCTGATCCCTGGCAAAAGATTGTCATAATTTCTTATGACATTCCCTCTGGCCAACCACATGATCAGAAGGGCTTCTTGCAAGCAGAATAGAAAACCCAAAAGAATATCTGACCTTCTCCCTGTTACTTGGAAGAGACAGGAGGCCACCAAAGCCATTACTGTTTCGATGTCTTTCGTATCTGAACTTCACAGTCTGACTGCTCTATGTGATATCTGTCAGTCTTTGTAGGAGTTTCTCAAATCTTCTGAATGGCCTTTGTACCAGAATTGGATCTCTTGACTCCTTTTAGCATTTAGAATTTACTTAGGTGCCTGTTGTAGCATCTGAAACCCAAAGAATGGTGGGTATTTCAAGATTGTTTGCACATGTGCTAGACTGACTTGCTATAGTGCTGCTGGGGAGAGCTGGCAGCAATGTTCAGCCTGCTAACTAGAGGAGCTGCACCATTAGGAGCAAGTTGGTCCTGCTAGGTACCATAAAAAATGGCTTGAGTAGATCTCTTTGTCTTGCAGATTTGTTTCTGTACAAATGACTGAACCAAGACGATTGAATTCACATCTAAGATACTGAGAAGTTGCTTGAGGCTTGAGCCCAGTTACCTTTTGTTCTACAGAACAGATGAGTTGAGTCCCACACATCTTTCTGACTTTTCCAAGCCATCCTTGGGGAGCCATCTGCTTAAGTGTCTGAGAGCATTAAGAGTGCTCTGTAACTTCTCCCAGGAGACCAAACCATGCCCACAACAATGCTGTTGCTTTGTTCTTGTGAAGGAACTGACATCTTGTTCATACAGAAACTTTAGGGGGAAAAAGGAAAGCAAGGAACTCAACAAACATTTCCTTTAATGAATGGAAGACATGAATGGGCATGTTGCTTGTAAGGGCAATGTAGCCAATTACGCAATATTTTCATTATCTCAGCAACTTGGGGACAGTCTCTTTGATGTATTATCTACCTCCATGCTCAGCATGGCAGCAGAAAGGTGATGTTGATGCACTCTATATTGCTGCTGCCTTATTATCACCTTGCTTTGTTGAAACAATAGCAGCTGCTACAGTGCCTCAGGCACCGGAAGACCAGTGCAAGGAGTTATTTTGAACCCTTTCCCATGACCTTTGGAAAACTGCTATGCAAATCTCATCTAGGTTCTTTGCTCCTGGCCTGCAAATACCCTTTCCTGTACTCAGTCTTCTCAAAATACTTCTCTCCCAAGGTGTAAGCCCCTGTGTGTTCAGTCTGAGGTCAGGAGTGCCACTGAGTGTTTGGTATGCAGTTGCAGACACGGACATGTTTTCTCTCAGAGCCACACCCCAAGAGAGCCCCTAGGTGCAGGGTGATGCTGTGGCTGCTCCTCTGATTTGTGTCCAGATGCTGCTGGTCACCTACAACCCACAGGGCGAGCAGAGCTAAAGGGCTGGAGACCCTGTCTTCTACCCCACCAATGCTTGAGCTACCAGCTGGGAGACAGGGATGGGGAGGGACCAAGACATGAGAAACTTGCCAGAACAGTGTTGTCTTTTGGAGGCAGGACATGGGACAGAGGGAAGTAAATATCTTGTCCCCTCTGATGTCTGCTGTGTGCCCACAGAGCAGCTAGAAGCTCAGTTGTGGATGTATCATCAGTGAGAGCAGTTTCCATCCACTGAGCACTTATGATAACCAAAGCAGGATGGCATTGGCCTCTCTCCACAGCTGAGGCAGCTGAAGCACAAAGGGTAGAGATGGAGAGTTTCTCCAAGCTGAGGTCTGAACTCAGCACAGCCCCTCACACAAGTCTTTCCCCAAGTCTTGGGGCTAAGGGGAAGACCCAGCAGGTAACTCAGTACTCTGGGACATGGCTGGAGCCTGGGCTGGAGAGAGCTGTTGCCCACAGGAGGCAGGAAGGAGTGGCAGGAGCAGCAGGACCCTTTGGGGATACTGGTATCCTCTTCCAACCGTCTGTGCAAAACACCATCACAGCTTTGCAAATTGTACTCATTTTATTCACTCATTAAGAGAGTCTGGGTTCATTTTGACCCTGGGGATAAAGGAGGCTACCTGCGACTCTAGAGTGATATACAAGGGGCCACAGGGGCCTTGTCCTCCTAGTATTTCCCCTATCAGGGCTCCAGCCAGAGACAGCATCACTGGGAGTGTTTGGGAGTTGCCAGCAGAGGGAGATGGCCAGCCACCTGCATGCACTGCCACACTCTCCCAAATCTGACAGGTTATACTTTTACCTACAGTTGCTATTCCTCTGGCTCTTCCATTCTGCCAGTCAGCAGAGTTGCGTTGGCTCATCTGATGCCCTTCTAGCTGTGTATCTTCGTTGCAGCTGAGTACTTGCAACTTCATCATCTCAGGAGTGTGACTGCGCTGGCATTTTATGCAAACATTTCCAGAACATCAGTCTGAGGTCCTGTGAACACAGGCCCTTTCTAGCTTGATAAATGCTCTGCAGTTCAGAAAAATGCTGCCTGTTTAGAAGTACTCTGGGCTTTTGTGAGTCTGTATCTTACTCTTCTGCTTTCTTTCCCCTTTTCATCATTTAGTATGATGATTCATCTGGATTTTATCCAGACCACTTATTATGGCATCCTGTTTCAGTGTTGATCTTAATTTCACAGCTGAACATCTAAAGAAGTGGGCTCTGGCAGCTTCACATGTTGGAGTTATTCAGAACTCTACAATTTAGGTGCCTTTGGCAGCATCGTTCTTAATATACCTCCATGTCCTTTTTCCATAACAAGAATACCATCCTGCCTGACTAGCATAATGATAGGTAAGACTTAGTGTCTGATCAGCATCCCACAAATGAAGATCCTCATCCTGTAGTGAGACCATGTTTTACACATTGCCCTGTGGAAATCCCAGTTAATTCTGCCAGTGAGACAGCTGGTGAGCTGCAAGACTTTGGGCTGTGACTCGGAGGCCTCGTGTTGCTGTGAAATCAGGCTGCCTGCTTAGCGAGCAGACACTGTGCCTGCTTGAATCATAGTATCATAGAATATACTGAGTTAGAAGGGACCCATGAGAATCATCGAGTCCAACTCCTGGCCCTGCACAGTAGAATCACACCATATGCCTGAAACGGTTGTCCAAACACTTCTTGAACTCAGACGGGCTTGGTACTGTGACCACTTCCCTGGGGTGCCAGTTCCAGTGCTCACTACCCTCTGGGTGAAAAACCTTTTCCTGATATGTAACCTAAACCTGTCCCTTGAGGCATGGGAACTCCAGGTTCTCTTTTCTCCCTGCCAGCATCAAATCCCCATCTTCTGTCAGATGCTCTGTGTCCCTTATCGCACCAAAAGAGCTGGAGAAATTACTGCAGGACTTCCCACAGCAGACAGCTGGGAACTCCCATGGGAAAAGAGGACATGTTCAAGGATAGAAAAGATATGGAAAATATCTATACATAGGCTAGATATAGTACATGGGAACTGCTGAAAGTTTCTAGAGGTTTAGATAAACACCTAGAACTTCTAGGGTCTCAGACTCATAGAATGTATCCCTACCAATACATGAAGCAGTGCCCAGGATCATTCCCAGTTCCTATTAAAATGTTTATTGGTCTGCTTTTCGTCTGTGCCATGCAGCAGTCTGCCAGACTTTCCTGGGCATGTCTCTGTGGTGCAAACAGCAGGGACCATTCCCCATGGGCTATTTGCAGGCAGCAAGCTTGGAAACAGGCATTTCCATGCCAGTTGTTCTCAACACTTGGAAGTGTGACTGAGATTTTTAATTTAATACCATAGAGTAACTGCATAAGTAACTGTGATAACAATGACCTTAAAAAGTAGCAAAGTTTCTAGAGGAAATTAGCCCTAGGACAAAGCATTAAATCTTGGGAACTTGGGTGGTGGACTACCTGTAGTTGTGTTAGATTGTCAGCACTGGAGTTGTGATTTAATGTTTTGGTTTTTTTGAAAAAAAACACTCTCTTTTTGGTCCTTTTGTAGGGCTGGGGAGCAGAGTATCATCGCCAAGATGTTACAAGCACGCCTTGCTGGATTGAGATCCACCTGCATGGACCATTGCAATGGCTGGATAAGGTGCTGACACAGATGGGCTCACCTCACAACCCCATCTCCTCAGTCTCTTAAGAATCATCTCTAGAATTCCTTTAGGATGGATGCTATTGCAGGCAGTGGCTTATAGAATTCCCAGTGAACAGAAGCTTCTATATGTAGATGTATGTAGATGTAAATATATCCATACATGGTCTACTTTCTTCTTTTTTTTTCATGCTACATTTTGTGGTTTCTAGTTACTCTGATGCCAGTAAAACAAGTTTAGAAATTCAGGTATAGCATATCTGTTCTCTAGTGCAAAATAAGCCAAATTCCTGCAAAAGTGTCAAACATTTCCTGTGAGCATCTTCATTCCCCAGCCAAGCCAGTAAATGGTGCGATTTCTCAGCACTTTCATGTGGGTTTGGAAACCTGGCTGTAGCTGTTCCTAGTAGGTGAAATTCACCCATCTGCAGGCAACCAAAGTCAGATCTCTATGCCATTTATATCCATTTTACATCCTAATTTCAGGTCTAAAACAGGACCTTAGATGGTGCACAGGACTTATGCATAGAGATGACTTTTATCTAGTGAACTGAAGGACTAAATTGCAATTCCAGTCTGACTCCCTACTGCAAAGCATGATGGGACAACAAATCCTTGGAGGAGCTGAGGCACCCACATCTCCCCTAGGATTTGGCAGGAGGAGAGAGCCCTCAGGACACACTCAGCACTGGAGCCTTATCAGAGCATTCTGGACACCTCCAAGTAGTCTGTTACTGTTGACACAGTAGGGTACGGTACTGCTGCACTGAAAAGCAACAAGCTCCTAAGAAAAAAATAATAATTGAAATGTATGCCTATGAGTAAAAAAACTAATTAACTTCCAGTGCTTTTTTTGCATACATACATACTTGCATATGTATCCGGCATGTAAACTGAATCCTATCCATTATACAGTATTGATGTAGTTTGTTTTAAAGTTAGGACTGTCTGTAGATAGAATACTGTGCTGATATCAAGGGTACACCTCAAAGGGGTTTGAACTGTGATTCAGAAAAGAGAAATGAAGTGTGCATTGAAGAAGCAAATAATTAGTTTATCATTCACCTTGGGATAGTCTCCATACTGGGAGCAGGAAGCCCCATGCCCACAGGATGCAATGAGAAGGAGGCGGGAGTCAGCCACATCCATCCCCTGTACTGGGCCAGTCCTTGGGATCTGACTGCGTTGCTTGGGTCTGACAGAGAGAGGGCTTCCCTGCCAGCCACACATCGTTCCTCATCTTAGATACAGGTTCCATCATTTGCTGTGCTTTTGCCTTGCCTGCAGGGGCTGGTGAGGCAGTGTAAGCAGAGAACAAGCGAAGAGTGAATCGATGTGCAGTGCATCGCTGTGTTCCTTCTGTAAGCAGGAAAACCTGTTGCCCATACCCTCATCCACAGAGCCAGCCTTGCAAAATGCTGTTCACTTTGTAACCTTCTCTGAGGAAACAGGTGAAACTCTTAATACGTTTTGATGGTCTCCATCATTTTGCTGAAAGAATCAAGTATTATTTCTTTCAAGGCATAACAGTTCACTGGAAAATTGTTTTGCTTTAAGGATCAGAAAGAGTGATACCTTCTGCAATCGCATTCCTCCATAGAATACACTAGAAGTATCATGAGGAAAAAAAAATGTTTTACAGAATGTTTCTTTTCTTCTCACACAATATCTGGTGCTACACATTTTGCTGCATAATTCAAAGAGGATGCCTGAAATCTTCAGCTATATCACATATGCAAAGGAAATAACCTTCACTGGAAAGACAGTAAGTAAACTAACAGTGTTATTTCATTTCAATGCATCTTCAGCTGCCTGTAGAATTTGCAGGACACAGAAGGATAAATTATTGTTAAGTTTGAGCAGTAATAGCAAGTTGTATATGAAATTTGTACATGCGAAGAACCCTGTTCTGTCATCATTTGACGTCAGCAGTGTCACTGTGAGATAGGAAAAGCTTTACAGTCTCTTGCAGCAATGAAATACAATAATAATATTACACAGAAATTCCAGAAGTGCCATTTACTGTTTAGCAGACTTGAGAGACATCAATTTGAAAAAATGCATTTTCCTCAGCTCCCTCTGTCATCAGTGACCCTGTACCAAGGTACTGGTAACATGGTTTTTTGCATGTTTATTGCACCTCTTCTCCAGTAGCACCTTTGCTCTAGGATGAGCACCTTTACATGTTGCTCATTTCTTTGCTTTCTTTAAGGACAGAGAAAATCACCTCTTCTGTCTAGGATCTTGCTCTGTCCTTTATCCTAGGTTCTTTCTTGCCTTTTAGGCTGAAACCTCTTTCTCTTCTAATATAGAGAGAAGCTTTTATAGAGAGAAGACATTCCCAGCATTGTCATCTTTCTCACAGAAAGCAAAAAGGAGATGTTCTGAGGTATATCTGGTCTTGCGCAGCTCCAGAACCCAGTTTCTGCCAATGCTGAAAAACTGGCCAGTGAAGAGAAGCAGGTCCTTTTGGGGCATCATTCATTTCATCATAAGACAGGCATTTCAAGTATGTGAAACGGTGCTTTGGGCATGCTTATGTTTCCCCACTGAGTATAAGGGGAACTTGTGTCATTAGCGCAAATGTGGACTGCTACACTGGACATTCCAAAAGTAGATGAGGTCAACCCTAAGGACGATGTGGTAGCTTTCCCAGCCTAGTAATGATGCTTGCTCAGTTAAGTGTCTGTGTTGTTTGAATAAAAGTTGGTAAAATCAGAGCAGTTCTTTCTGTCCTGTATGTCTACTTTTATAGTAATCCTTACATTAGTGGAATTTGGCTTCCATGCAGTCCATACATGCATCTCATTTAAGGCAGTCACCTTAATACTACCTTACTAGTAAGTAAAGAGGAATCTCTGAAGCATGATTCTTCTGACCTATTTAAAACATCTGTATTAGAATGAAATGAATTTCAGCAAATTTAACTACTTGTCCAAAATTGGATCAAAGCACCTGATTCTGGGCAATTGAAGCCATTGGCCATCTCAGAGTTGTTAGCATTGGAAAGGCTGGTATCAGTGTGTCAAACTGTTTCTTCCTGTTTTGGTGGCCTTTGGGGACTTATCCCACCGTGTGAGATGCTGTGCAAACACAGAGAAGCTGACAGCTCCTTTCCGAGTGAAGGGGAGAGTCCACAGTACATGGGAGAAGTGATAATAGTGGATGAGGCAAACAAGTAAATAGGAAGATAATCCCTGCCCAGATGCAAAGATAAAAAGTAAGGTTATTAAACCATTTATTTCCCTTTCTTTTTGAACAAAGTTTCTTTTACAGGCTTCTCTAGTATATGTGAATTGAACTGGGTTAAAAATTCAGGTTTCTCTTAATCTACAGCAGTGTAACTTGATATCTCTAATGCCTCCCCAATATGGAAGGAGATATTTGCTGCTGAAAGTTCTTCATAAACCTATCCACCTGTAGTCAACTTAAGACCTTTAAATGTATTCATTAATACTCAAACTTTGGAGGTAGTCTTCCTGAGAGATTTAAAACCACTTACAGGTAGACTACAATCAGCCGACCAGGGGTGGAGCCAAGGTCGTTTCCCAGGGATTTAAACTGCTCCAGGGAGCACAAGTGACCCGGAGTGGTCAAACAGGGATGTGGCATGGCAGTTTGCACAGGCAGGGCGAGCAGGAAGAGCACAGCCACCCCCGCAGCTTTCTCTGTGGGTTGTCGGGTAGGTGTGTGGCTATGGTTTATTTGTTTGGTTTTGGTGTGGTTTTTTTTTCCTGCAAGTCAACTAGACCCAGAAATGGTTTCCAAATGAGCAAAAGCCATTGCTGTTGCTGTCAGGGGGAGTGTGCTAACGCAGACAGAACCCCCCAGGAAGGACGTAGTTCTTACGGTCACTGTCTGCAGTATGTCTGAGCCTGTTGTTAGTACCAGAGGACAGTGCAAGAGACGCCTGCATACAATGCGAGCAGATGAATGATTTGCTTAGTGGCAGAGCTCAAGGAAGAAGTAGAGAGGCTAAGAAGTATTAGAGAGAGGGAAATAGACTGGTGGAGTCGCACCCTTTAGACCCCAAAAGAAGTCCAGCAGAAGCCCTGCCCCTCCTGCCATCAGGCAGATGGAGCAAACCAAGTAGATGGGGGCGAATGGAAAAAGGTCCCTGATCAAAGAGGTAAAAGGATCCCCTCCTGACCCCCATCACCTACCCAGGTGCCCTTAAAGAACAGGTATGAGGCCCTGGACCCAGACAGGCAGAGGGCAGTCAAGAAGAGGATCTTTCTGGAGGGTCTCCTGGTTGCACCCTGTCTACCAGACGGATCACAACCACAGCTATAAAGAAAAAAGGGTAGTTGTAGTAGGCAACTCCCTTTTGAGGGGAGCAGAAGGCCCTCTATGCCAACTGGACCCATCCCACAGGAAAGTCTGCTGCCTTCCTGGGGCCCGGGTGAGGGATGTTAGTAGGAGACTCACTGAGCTAATCCAGCCCTTGGATTATTGTCCACTGCTGGTGGTCCAGGCTGGCAGTGATGACATTAATGAAAGAGGTACCAGGCTAATTAAAGAGGACTTCAAGGTGCTGGGTTGATTAGTTAATGGGACAGGAGCACAGGTGGTGTTCACCTCAGTTCCTGCAGGAGGAGGGATGAATGAGGAGAAGAGTAGGAAAACCTGTCTAATTAATAGGTGGCTAAAGGATTGGTGCCACCGGCAGAATTTCAGTTTTTTGACCATGGGGCAAATTCTGTGGTACAGCTAGAGTCAGATGGGCTTCATCTGTCTAGCAAGGGCAAAAGGACTTCAGCCCGTAACTTGTCAGGGCTGATCAGGAGGGCTTTAAACTAGATTTGAAGGGGGAAGGGGTTGAAACCAGGCTCTTCAGAGATGAGCTTAGGGGTACAAAGCCCAAGTTAAGAGTGATAGCAGCAGCCCAGCTGAAGTGCATGTACATCAGTGCACACAGTATGGGTAACAAGCAAGAGGAGCTGGTGGAAGAGCTTGCCAACCTGCTCTCCATCATTTACCAACAGTCCTGGCTCTCCAGGGAGGTCCCAGACGATTGGAAGTTGGTGAATGTCACGCCAATCCACAAAAAGAGCTGCAAGGAGGACCCGGGAAACTACAGTCCCGTCAGCCTGACCTCAGTGCCTGGCAAGGTTATGGAGCAGATCATCCTGAGTGCAATCACACAGCACCTACAGGATGGACAAGGGATCAGAGCCAGCCAGCACGGGTTTAGGAGGGGCAGGTCCTGTCTGACCAACCTGATCTCCTTGTATGACCAGGTGATCCACCTGGTGGATGAGGGGAAGGCTGTAGATGTGTCTATCTGGACTTCAGCAAAGCCTTTGACACTGTCTCCCATAATATACTCCTGGAAAAGCTGGCAACCCACGGCTTGGACAGGGGCACTCTGTGCTGGGTTAAGAACTGGCTGGAGGGCCGGGCCCAGAGAGTGCTGGTGAACGGGGCTGCATCCAGCTGGCGGCCGGTCACCAGTGGTGTCCCCCAGGGATCAGTGCTGGGCCCAGTCCTGTTTAATATGTTTACTGATGATCTGAATGAGGGGATTGAGTTCACCATTAGCACATTTACAGATGACACCAAGCTGAGGGGGAGTGTTGATCTGCTGGAAGGCAGGAGGGCCCTTCAGAGAGATCTGGACAAACTGGAGAGATGATCTGATTCCAACAGGATGAAGTTCAACAAGGCCAAGTGCCGGGTTCTGCACTTTGGCAACAACAACCCCTGCAGCGCTACAGGCTGGGCACAGAGTGGCTGGAGAGCAGCCAGGCAGAAAGGGACCTGGGGGTGCTGATTGACAGGAAGCTGAACATGAGCCAGCAGTGTGCCCAGGTGGCCAAGAAGGACAATGGCATCCTGGCCTGGATCAAGAACAGTGTGGCCAGCAGGAGCAGGGAAGTGATCCTTCCCCTGTACTCAGCGCTGGGGAGGCCACACTTTGAGTATTGTGTTCAGCTCTGGGCCCCTCAGTTCAGGAAGGATATTGAGGTGCTGGAGCAGGTCCAGAGAAGAGCAACAAGGCTGGTGCAGGGACTCGAACACAAGTCCTATGAGGAGAGGCTGAGGGAGCTGGGGTTGTTTAGTCTGGAAAAGAGGAGGCTCAGGGGTGACCTCATCACTCTCTACAGCTCCCTGAAAGGAGGTTGTAGCCGGGTGGGGGTTGGTCTCTTCTCCCAGGCAACCAGTAATAGGACAAGAGGGCATGGTCTTAAGCTCTGCCAGGGGAGGTTTAGGTTGAATATTAGTTAGAAATTTTTTACAGAGAGAGTAATCAGACATTGGAATGGGCTGGCCAAGGAGGTGGTGGATTCACCGTCCCTGGAGGTTTTTAAGACGAGGCTGGATGTGGCACTTAGTGCCATGGTCTAGTAACCATGGCAGTGTTGGATTAAGGGTTGAACTTAATGATCTCAGAGCTGTTTTCCAACCCAGTTGATTCTATGATTCTATGATAAAGGGGAACTGTGGCCTAAAGTAACACAAGCTGGAGTTGAGGAAACTCCTTCCATGTCTCCAGCGGTTACTGTGTCAAAACTTTTACCATCCTGAGCAACCTTCTCCATGTGGTCCTTGTCTTGAGCAGGGCATCAGACTTGATGCCTGCTGAGATCTCTTCCAATATACATTATCCCATGGAGACTTAGTGATAACGAGTTGCCACAGGAAGGAGCTCTGTTAACAGGGACAGTTTCAGGATGAAACATGTTTATCCTCAGCTATTTCTGCATGAGTTCAGTGCAGGACAGAGTTACGAGATATTAATATTCCCTCAGCATAAAATCAACACTGCGAACATCTCTCACTGTAAATATCACCTCCACCATGCTACTCTTAAAATGCAGAAAATAAGGCATTTGTGACTGTACCTTTATCTAATCTTCTCTTGTTCTTCCTGGTTTACAATACCCACCTTTGTCTATCAGCTCTACAAGTCAGTCTCATAACTGACTGATGAGTTTACTAGCTGGATTTACAGTAGCAGCTCAGGCAGAGACTGTTTGCTTCTTAGCTGGGTGGAAATAGTTTATAAAGAAGCCTGACAGAATTTAGTAACTTTGAAGGAGTCTCAAGTACATGACTAATTTTCTTGGATCAAGACTTCTCTAGTGCAACTATACCTTTCAGGAATGCTTGAGCACTACATGGTGCTCAGCACAGGAAAGAAACATTACATTCTCTGTACTATTCACCACTTCCCCAGGCTCCCCATAATCTAACTTAGTAAAACCAAAAACAAACACAACAAAAAAAGGTTAATGAGTCATAACTAAAAATACCATTTTTGCAAGGTTGAGAAGTGCTGCCTAGAATGTAGGTTTATATCCTCAGGCAGCCATGTAATGATAGGACATGGCTTTAAACTGAAAGAGGGTAGCTTTAGATATTAGGAAGAAATTCTTTACTGTGAGGGTGGTGAGGCACTAGCACAGGTTGCCCAGAGAAGTTGTAGATGCCCCATCCCTGAAAGTGTCCATGGCCAGGTTGGATGGCGCTTTGAGCAACCTGGTCTAGAGGAAAGTGTCCCTGCCCATGGCAGGGTGTTAGGACTTGATCATCTTTAAAGGTCCCTTCCAACCCAAACCATTTGATGATGATGAAGTCCCACATGCTCTCCAAGCCAAAGGGAGCTCCTTGTTTTGGAGAAACCTGGAGAGCAGACTGTTGCTTAGACATCTGAACCCAAGCCCTTCTGGGTGAGTGGAAACCCCACTGAAGGAGCTGAGATTTTTATAGAGGATTTACAATTCATGGTTGTTTAAGTAGCCAGAAATGCACTGAGATGCTGAAGAGACTGAGGAGGAGGGAGCATATGGCCAGCTAAGCTCAGTGGTCATTGCCAGAGGTATCAAGGCAGTACGTGCTCAGGCAGCTATTGTGTTCACTAGAGCTTTTTACATTCACATCTAACCAAATTGTCAATACTTGTTTTAGGAGCAGCTTGGAGTATGACAATCCTTGCTATGGTTCTTCCTGTAAATCCAGCCTGTGTGAGTGTGCCAGATTTCCCAATTAAGCCATTTGATATGTTGGGGCAAATGGTGTCCCATGTAATCCAGAGTGGGCTCTGGTTGCATCTGGGTACTGCACTTGAAAGGTTACCCTCTGCCTTGCTGCAACACTAATGAGTTCAGTTCTGGGGCAAGTGTTCAAGGACAATACCAGTACATCCAGTGTGTGCTCCTCAAAGAAAGATGCAGTCTGAACAGAAACTGCACGACTGAAAGACGTGGTCTATATAAGAGCATCTACCTGGGAACTGTGATAAACCAACTCACTTCATGCATAGTTAGCAAATTACAGTGCCCAAAGGAAAATGTAGTCAACAGGAACTTTCATGGGCATTCACATTCTTATCAGTACCTAAGAATGGACAAATGTGCTTCCTTGAGAGGGACTAAGAGGTCAGGTCACCATCAAAAAGATCTTGCAGCAGGGAGAGAGAGATTATGTGAGACTTTAGATCTGTGAATGAAAAGTTGCTCAACCTGGAGGTTTCATTGCACCCATTGAAACAGGGCTTCTTCCTCATGGCAGCTTCAGAAGTACCTTACTGCAAGATACAGGAAGCCTGACTGGGCATTTAAGTCTTTGTTCAGCTGAGAGAAATCCTTTTGTCTCTAGTGCGGACAGACACTTCTGCATGTTGGGCACCAGCACACAACACAGCCTTTGGTTTGTACCCATCATCTATTCACAGAAAGCTCTGAATGGGCAGGAGCAGCCATTACAGTGTTACCTGTTCACCCCACGGCTTTCCAGACAGCTTGCCCAGCCGTGCCTTACATTACATTGCCATATTGATGCCCCACTTCCCTTCCTGCCAGGGAGGTGAGGTGCATGAGAGTCCTACCAAGAGGACACCTGCACTTGCACCTGGGCCATGCTTGCAAACAGTGCCTATACAGATAACTAATCTAATTTGCAGGCCACATCTCTTACGCTAGGTAGACGTAACCACTACATCCTCCAGAGTCAGCTACTCTTCATTATAGTCAATGTGAACATTTGCAGCTAATTGTGAACAGATTTTAGATCTTCGGTCATGGTGTTTTTATTATCCATGGATGCTGCTATTTTATATTCTGTGTTAGTATTCAAATAATATTGCATATGAATAGCATAGGATGAAATAGACCAACCAGTTAATAATTTTAAATACAGACCTCATCAGCAAAGAAAAGCTAAAAAAAACTTGATAAAGTTTGACCCCTTGCACTTTCACAGTAGTGAGTGAGCAAATCATATTTCAAAGTGCTTTATTTGATGCTAAAGTGTATGTTGTCTTATTAGTTCACAGTTATGTCCACGAGAAGCTTTGCAAACAAGAGAGCAAGGGAACAAACATAATGATGAGCAGAGATAATGCACATTCAGATAAAATTTCTTCACTTACTCAAGCAATTGGGAGTTTTTAATTATTTATAATACTTCTAAAGTACAAGCTAAATGTACCACAGTATACTTTTTGCAAATATGTCAGTGTTAGCAATTTAAACCCTCACTTCAGCATCACCTCTGTGATTAAATGGGGCTGAGAAGTGAGACAAGAAAGTGAAGAAACAGGCCGTTTAGTGTGGAACAATGAAGCCATACAGGTTGCAAAGTTCTATGCAGTCAAGGGGCTGAAATGGTGGATTTGAGCAAGGTGTGTGTGGGGGGGTTGTGTTAAATACAAGCTATTGGTCTGGTGCAGAAAAGCAATGTGAGTCATGCATGATTTAACAGAGTCACTTCTGTCTATGAACAATTCTGCCCTCTCTTTTCCATCAGAAGCAAAGCAAAACATCTGCGCCATCCACAAGTATTATTCACGGTTCATGATATTCTATAAACCAGCACAGATCGCTGTATAAAGAACAATACTTGGACTCTTTCCTCTTGAGAATGAAAAATCTCAGATGTAGCTTCAGGAGCCTTCAGAGATCAGGGCAGCTCCGAGTCCTCCACTCAGCCCCAGAATACTCTATTCCATGCTGTGTTGTATCAAGAAAGATGTAATGACTGCTAACCAAGAGGACATTTTCACAAGCACTACTTCTGCTGCATTTGATTTGAGGCATTGTGAAGTCAACACATTTAGTCTGATGTTTGAACAATACACTTTTTAACACACTCCATTTTCTTTGGCTGAAATTATTCTATTGTAAAAGGGATTATTCACGTCTTGTGTTTTACTGTTAATAAAGAGATTTCTGATTTAAGAGCTCTTTTCCTTGTCGTCTCCCATTCTTCTCTTTGGAAGAGACTGGCCATGGAAAGCTGTAGGTCCCGGTCAGACCACAAGTGACTTTGGGAACTGGAGCATTTAGAAAGCCTTTATCCATAAAAGTCTGTCTTGGGCAAGAGAATCAGTGATTGCACTAAGCGAGTGATGGTATGCTAGACACAGGAAAACATACTGAAAATAAATACGACATAAAATCTGGATGTATAGTATATGGATCCTTCACTGTTCTGTGGTAGATTTGGTGATTTAAGAGGATGGTTCAGCTTACTTTTGAAGGAGACAGCTTTCATCTGACAAGCAGTCAATGAGCAGTGATGTTGCCCTATGACAGAGGCCCTTGCTCTGCACCAGACTGACCTTAGTGGAAAAACAGACTTGCAGCTGCACAGTTTTTGAACTGTTCAAGGAGAAAGACAGATATAGTAAGAATGCACTGTTACAGAAATGTCATGTTTTAATCTTCCTAAAATTCAGATTTTGTTCTGCAATAACAGAAGGAAGGGAATAAACAACATAATGGATCTCAGAGCCATGCAGGCACTGCTGGGTTCACACACAGCTTGGGACTCCCATCTGAAACTGCCCAAACAGGACAGCCCTGCTACCAGCAGATCTCCCAACACTGCACCCAACTGCAAGGCACTGGTATCACAGACCACCAAAAATACAGGATAGGTGAGCTGCACTGTACTGAAATCTCTATGCACAGTTTCAACAAGTTGCATTTGTTTTGACATAACCGACTTGTTTAGCACTGTCTTTACAAACACTCCCTGTGCCACCTTTCTGCCATCAGGGTTTGGGTTTTTTAAAAGTTTAATCAGATCTGTTCACCTAAATGATCTATTCTCCTTTCATAAGCTGACCATTTAAAACAAAATCAAATACTTTATTCTGCAATTTCAGCCAATTTTGTTTTCACATATATTCTAATACACTGAAAAGTAACCTGATTTTACCTAAAGCTAAAATAACTTTCTATACCAAGAGCCTTGGAAAACAGAATGCCATCTAGTCAGAGCTGGCTGTTTTAGTAATGGGAAAAAAATCCCAAACATGTAAATTTAACAAAACAAAAAAGAACAGGCTTGTTTTTTTAAAGAAAAACAAAGATTTTACTCAAACACTTATTGGTCCAGATATACAAAGTTTTTCAAGATCTTTTTTAAAGAACAACTTACACTAAATACAACAAATCCCTACTGAACAAGTTTTATACATACAAAAAGCACAGCTTGAAAAAATCTTGAAGACTTACAAATACTCTTGAAAAGACACTATTTCATAGATCAAACTGCTGCAATAACAAAGTAGTACTTTATAATAATCACGTACCCCATCCGGATAACCTCTATTCAGAAATGTGGTTTAATTCAAAACTTTGTTTTAAAAACAAAACGTGGGATTTAACACATAATATAGTGTTTGGATGTTTAACCAAATCAACTGCAAGTTCATCTGATTTGGATGAAAACCTTTATCAGCACTGCAGCTGACATGGTATCAGTTGTCTTAAAAGAATTTTAACTGTACTTTTTTTGGAAGACTAGTTTTTGGATTAATTTGCTATTACAAGTTAAAAGCTTTAAAATTTAATTTAGTAACTTAAAAATTAATTATAGTCAAATCTGCAATTAATTTATATTTCACATATAAGAAGTTGGCCATTACAAATACTCCACAAAACAAGATCTAACTCCAGTTTCATACATTCCACCTAATTCTTCTATAAAGCTTTTTGCCATTTATCTGTCTTGGAACTTTTAAACGCAAATTCTTTTACATGCTATGCACAGGAAGCATTTCAAACCTACTCAGCTTGCAGATAATGAACAGATAGCAGGAGGATCACCTACTTATACTTTTCTGAGCCACTGGATTGATGACTTCTTGATGGCATGTTCACTTTGCCTTTAGTGCAAGATTCTGCTGGACATTTCTCATATCCCTGAGCAATTACTGTTAGGTCATGCCACTGGACTGGCTCAACTTCAGAACTTTATTTCACAACTTCCATAGAAAGTAACTGACTTCCTTCAATGATTATCATCAAAGACTGATTTAACTGTAAATCTTTATATAAAAAAAGTTTAAATTAAATGGAAGACTTTGGTAGGAAAAGGGTATACAGCTAAACATTACTACTATAAACAAGTTTTTATTAAAAAATTAAACAGTAACATGAAGTTTTAAAAATAATCAAAAAATAGACTCCTCCAGATTTGCAGATGACACCAAGCTGAGTAGTGTGGTTGACACAACTGAGGGATGGGATGCCACACAGAGGGATCTGGACAAGCTGTGGATTCAAGAAGTGGGCCCATGGGAATATCACACTGTTGAACAAGACCAAGTGCAAAGTGCTGCACCTGGATCAGGGCAGCCCCTGGTATCAGTACAGGTTGGGGGATGATCAAGAGCAGCCCTATCATGAAGGACTTCGGGGGCTGGTGAATGAGGGGCTGGATGTGAGCTGGCAACTGTCTCCTGGGCTGCATCAAAAGGAGCATGGCCAGCAGGTCAAGGGAGGTGATTCTGTATGTTGATGCTGGAATAACAGGGTCTACAGTCAGCAATGAGGAGGTCATGAAGCCAAACAGCTGGGATCCCTTGCTAGAGATCAGGTAATTGAAAGAGGCATTGGAAAAGGGGCAGCAATTTGCAGTCTCAGGAGATGGCTCACCTCAAGTGTGAGGGCAAGATATTTAAGAAAGATCTTGTGAACTTCCCAAGAAAGTGGAGCACTCCTGATGAAGGTATCCAGAGAATTAGCAGTGCTAATAATGAGAAATCATCTATAGTAATCTAGGATGGGATAACGCTCCTAAAGATTCAAAGGACGTTCCTTGCACAAAGGCCAGGTGGAGGAAGGTGGTTCAAAATGCCCCTGCATCATATTCCCACAGCCTGGTGGCATTATAGTAACTGAAGAAGAATCCACCTGTAGAGGTGATGTCCTCCTGGCTCCATAACATAGAATAAACTCTGGGCACTTCCTCATTCCCATGGGCCAACACCTCAGCCCTCAGGGGCAGCCCAAGAGATCGGTCCTCTCCCAGGTCAGAGGGTAAGGAAGCCTCAAGCGCAGGCCACGTGGTGAACTCTGGTTCTTTCTGCATGACCACGGGGAAGACGTAAGGAAGGGGGATGGTGAACCCACCTTTAAGCTGGAAGCCCAGGTATGTGAATTGAGAGGAAAGAGAACTGTTAAGAAGGGGTTACCCAAGAAGGCCGTCAACATAGTTGCCACAGAGACCCAAGAAAGCAATCAGCAACCTCCCAGACATGAAAGGACTGAAATCAACTCCTTTGATCCTGCTGAGGGGACTTCTGATCTGGCATCACAAAGGTCAGACAGTGAATACTCTGACCAGGAACGGGAATAGAAGGTCCTGCCTTCAGACAGGAGAAAAGGGATGACAGGGTCTACTGGACTATGTGGATTTGATGGCCTGGCACATCAGATCCACAGAGGTATAGACCTGTAGTGGATACCGGTGCACAGTGCACACTGATGCCATCAAGACTCAAAAGTGCAGAACCCATCTGGACCTCTGGAGTGACAGGAGGATGCCAAAAATTGTCTGTATTAGAGGCTGAGGTGAGCACAGCAGGTGACAAGTGGGAAAAGCACCTTATTTTGACTGACCCAGAGGTCTCTTGTATCCTTGGCATCAATTACCTCAGGAGTGGGTATTTCAAGTGTCCAAAGGAGTACCAATGGGCTTCTGATGTAGCTACTGTGAAAGAGAAGATCAAGCAGCTATCTACCCTGCCTGGCCTCTCAGAAGTTCTCTTCATCATGGGATTGCTGCAAGTTGAAGACCAATGAGTGCTACCAGGACAGTGCACTGGTGGCAATATCGCACAAACCCTGGCTCCCATCCATGAGCTGATTCATCAAATGGAAAGCTAAGACATGATCAGCAAGACTCTCTTGCCTTTTAATGGTCCCATTGTGGCCAGTGCAAAAGTCTGATGGAGAGTGGAAGTTAACAGTAGGCTATCATGGCCTAAACAAGGCAACACTGAGCACTGCTGTGCTGGACACGTTAAGAGTTCCATTGTGAGCTGAAGGCAGCCAAATGGTGCGCTACAGCTGACACTGCCAAAGCATTTTTCTCAAATCCTTTGGCAGTAGAGTGCAGACCACAGTTTGCTTTCACTAGCCCTTAAGATTGCTGAACAAGAAAAGTGGCCTGTACTATACCTGTGTACTGACTCCTGGATGGTGGCTAATGGCCTGTGAGCATGGCTACAGCAATGGAAGAAGGCCAACTGGCAACGCAGGGGTAAACCCATCTGGGCTGCTGCATTGTGGCAGGACATTGCTGCATGATCTGAGGGTACATCAGGTAGATGCTTACTGCCCAAAAGTCGTGCCACTGAAAAACATCAGAACAATAAGCAGGTAGATAAGGCTGACAAAATTGAAATAGCACAGGTAGAACTAGACTGGGAGAAGGGTGAGCTATTTACAGCCCAATGAGCCCATGAAACATCATTAAGACAAGAGGACACGGGCTTAAGCTGTGCCAGGAGAGGTTTAGGTTGGATATTAGAAAGTTCTTTCCAGAGAGAGTGATCAGGCATTGGAATGGCCTGCCCAGAGAGGTGGTGGATTCACTGTCCTTGGAGGTATTTAAGATGAGACTGGATGTGGCACTGAGTGCCATGATCTAGTAATCACAGTGGGGTTGGATCAAGGGTTGGACTTGATGATCTCGGAGGTCTCTTCCAACCCAATTAATTCTATGATCAGGATTATCTAGGAAGAGATGCGACAATGGGCTCACGATCAGGGGTGGTCGTGACCATGGAGTCCATCACACAGATCATTTGTGAATGAAAAATGTGCTACAATCAAGAGAGCTACACATGTAAAATTTCCCTGGAATTGAGGGAACTGGGATTTCTGATATGGTGAGGCCTGGCAAACTGACACCAAGTAAGCGTTACATACTCACCCCAGTGAAGGCAACCACTGGTTGGCTAGAAGCAAACCCTGTAAACCAAACCACTGCTCAAAACACTGTCTTAGGCCTTGAAAGGTACATTTTGTAGCAACATGGTACTCTAGAAAGAACTGAATCAGACAGGCTGACTTTCAAAATAACCTTATAAACTCTGGGACAAAGAAACATGTCACTGAGTGCATATATCCCATCTCCTATAAGCCTCTAGAAAAACTGAGACTACTACAGACTGTTAAGAGCATTAGGCAATGAGGCATGGAAGCACCGAGATGCTAATTTAGCAGAAGTCAACTGGCTGATTGATTTACACTAGAGGACCTGCTAACCACCCTAGTCCTGCCCAAACATACTGAGGGGGGAGGTAAGCTCCCCATACTACACACAGGGAAGCTGAGTGTGGATTTCTTCTCCCGTGGGAAAAGCAAACCCATTCGTGGGATTGTCTTTGCTCAAGGACCCAGGTGTACTTGACAGGTAATGCAGAAGGATGGGGAGAACCGGTGTGTGCCTAAAGGAGATTTAACCTTGGGGGAAAAATAATCTGTGGTGTAAATTGTATGTTGCAGGAAGTAAAGTAGCAGGAATGACATGAAGCAACGAAGAGTGAATTTTGCGAGGCACAAGGAGAGTGTGACAATGCCCCAAGCTGGACTATGGTGCTGCCCAATGATTGAGTGTGCTGCTGCTTCAGTCCTAACCACCCATCCTGATGGAATGAAATCCAACTCATGGCCTGGTTCTGAACATCTGGAGGGGTAGAGGAAGCCCATGGGAAAAACATAGCTATCTGTGAAAGGACAGGGGATAGCAGTTAATGCAAATGTATACATCTATATGTCTAGCCAAGGTCAACCCACTACAGCCCCTCTACTTCGCTCTGGTGAGACCCTGGAGTACTGTGTCCAGTTCTGGGGCTCCCAATCCACCTGTTAGTGCAAGTCCAGAGGACGGCCACCAAGTTGTGATTAGAGGGATGGAGCACCTCTCCTGTGAGGAAGCTTTAAGGTCCCTTGCAACTGTTGAGGAATACATCTGGTGCAGGTAGCTCGGTTTGCAAGCTGCAATTTAGAGATGCAGACTGAGATGCAAATTGAGCTCTAACTAGGAGCCAAGAAAGACAAGAAGTCATGAACTGCCAAGCCAACCCTTTGCATAACAAAAGGCATGAAGTCCAATGGCACTAGCCAGGTGAGTGGACATAGAGCCACATCAGGAGCCACAGATTTGGGAGGAAGAGCAAGACTTGCTGGCACTTAGACCATGAGGACATAAAAGTCCAGAGGTTCCTCTGCTGGAGGCCTCTCCTCAGAGGCACCAGCTGGGGCTGTTTCTCTGTGACTGCGCTATGAATAAATTGCTTTATGGAATGAGACATCTGAGACCCTGCTATAGGAAACCTGAGGTCGAACCTGTAAGGAAATCTGGTCTGACTGCACGTGAGTGGGGTTTGTAGGGAGTCAAGCAGGGCTCACTGGAGCCACCCACAGTGAAGGGGCTTTGGTCTCAGCAGTTAAAGTCTCTGGCACTGGGAGTGTGACTGCCAGAGTCCGGTGAATGGTCAGATTGGGAAGACTCCTTAATATAACCCAGTCCAATCTATGATTCTATGATTTGCTCACAAGTTTGAAGACACCCAAGCAGCTCAAAACCTCAAAAGTGCAACCAAGAAACAAATACATAACAACAGCAACTTTCATTTTCCTTTGAACATTGAGATTCTTTGTATTTATACAAAACACAGATCCTATCCCCTCCTTCAGCACCAGACTCATCTGAAGGTCATTGATCTGTTCTCATTACCCAGGGGCTCCTTGAAACTGTTGTTGCCTTTGTTCCAAAGCTTGTTGACTTAACAGTTGCTGTTGTTTCTGTAGAAACTGCACTACTTCTGGGCTTCTGAGTAGGGACTAAAAGAAAGAAAAAGAGAACTTTACTTTAGAGAACTCACATACGTTAAACAGCTATATTATATTTATATTATAATATTTTTCCATTAAATTAATTTACGCATTACTCCTGGCTGTTCTTTAACCCTGGCAGATAACTTAAGCATCAGCCACTGCTCACTCCCTCCCCCACTCCCTCCCTGCTGTGGAATGAAGCACTGTTCAGCAATAACTAAAACAACACTGCATTATCAACACTCTTTTCATCACAAACCCAAAGTGCAGTCCCATACAAGCTGTATGGGAAGAAAATTAACTGTATCCCAGCAACAACCAGTACATCCATCCAAATGAGAGTTCAGTCAAATGAAGAATTACAAAACATGCTCACAAGACATCTAAGAACTGTTTCAAGACACCATCAGGTAACCAGAAGCAGCATTAGCACACATCCTGAAAGCAGGTTCAGAATGTATAGAATATATAGTATTGCAAAAAAAAAATCATGAATATAACAAACAGGAATAATCTACTGACACACTGAAAACAGACACCTTGCAACTGTGTCTTCAGTTTTGAGCCAATTTCTACATTTCCCACCAAAGATAGCTCAAAAAGAGTATAATAAACAAACAAAATACTGTAATTCTGCAGCAAAGATCATGTTCCTATCAAGAGTTCAAGCATTTGGAGTATTAGCCACATGTTTTAGTTTTAGGTAGACCTGCGAGGAGCAGGGAGTTGGACTCAATGATCCTTATGGGTCCCTTCCAACTTGGGATATTCTATGATGCTGTGTTCACTCAGTGTTCAGAATTTCCCAACATTTCAAAACAGCAGTCCAGCCACAAGGAATGAAAGTTGTGATGGAGAAGCCAAAGAAACTGTAAGTACTGAATTATTTCCCTTCACTGGGCTTAATTCTTGAAAGGAACAACAAAGCATTTAAAACCTAGAACACATATCATTCATGCACTCTACAAATGAGTCATACTGTTTACAGTTTATCAACACATACATACACAATTTTAAGTGTGATATGATACATCTACAATTTCTAAAACACACCACAGTAATTACAGTTTACATCAGACCTAAACTCCACACAATGTTCTACCTAAAGCTTTGGTTTAACAAGCTAAAACCCCTCAGTTATACATAAGCACTATTTACCCTGAAGAAATAACCATGCCTGTTTATTACTACCAAAATACACAACCTCAGTTAATGTGGCAGTGATCACTAAATTCAGTTATCTTAGTATTATTCACAGAGAGGCTGAGGCACACGTCTGCTCTGCAGTGTATTTCAAATTTGAAAATATGCACATGTAGTGTACAGTCTTAAACTGATCTTCTTTCACATCAGTGACAAGTAAATAAAGGTTGTGTAAACAATTTTTGAGTTCAAAACCTCTATGGAAACAAGACTTACCAGCCTTTTTTTATTCAATACTTGTTCTAAAAGAGTAGGTCTTGCCGGGCGATCTCCAATGGATCCTGTTCTCTGCTTTGTAACAGGAACTGAACCTTCAACACTATCCTGCACATGAAAGAAAAAAAAAAGAAAAAGTGAGACTATCAACTCTGATATAATGATACAGAGAAAATCCCAAGGGTAAAGAACATTTGCCTCCTAATCTGCAGAGGAAAGTAACAGCACAGGAGTGGAAGTGTATCTATTCAAGACCTGGCCTCTTCTTTCCATATCCTTTCACCGTTTCACCAGTCACAGTGAAGCAATATAGCTCATTTAAGTCTTCCACACTGCAAAAATAACCAGGTTACTAGGGCTATTTGTAGCCTTGAATTTATTTGATTGCATTTCTTAAAAACGAAGTAACTCTCAACAGCTCAGTCTCCAGCTCCTGAAAGTGAGTGATATTTACTATTTACAACTGGGCAGGAATGAAAATACAAAATTGGCAAAACAAAACAGTACCAAAACAAAACATACTTCAGAACACTATTATGAATTTGCTAAAGCCCCAGGCTTTTCTCTTTGCAAGTTTATTCTGTTTGTTGTACAATCACCAGTCATTTGAATTAGACATATGAATACAATACGGCTCTACAATCTGCTCTGAAGAAAGTATCAATGGTTTGGAAAATTTAAACCTATGTTGAATTCTATATGTATTAAATTCATAACTTACTGATACTTCCATTTACCTGAAAGGGATCAAAAGCAAAGAACAACAAAGTATGCCAGTATCTTTCACTTCAATCCTGTCCACAGACATGAAAAATGAAAACATCTACCGGGAATCTAACTCTCACCCCACAAGACAACAGTATCTTGTGAAGTCTTAACAGAGACCACTGCAAAAAACCATACTAAGTTTAGGACTAAATAACCTGCTTTCTTCTGCAAGTTGAGGCCTTAATTTCATAACGTTCAAAGCAACCTGCATTTGCAAAAACTGGGAAAAGCAAGCCCCCTTTCTTCCAAAATGCAATAATCACTATTTCATGTTACAGATCAAAAGATTTTAACTCATCACTATGCAAAATGCTACAATTTTGCCCTTTCCCCCACACTGTCTTTTTTTCTGAACTAGAACAAGTATTTCTGTAGACTGAGCAGGAAGTAGTCCTGTAGACTCAGCTGACGAACTGAGCAGGAAGACCTATCAGAGAAGAAAGAGAGAAGAGGGGAGGTCATGCCAGTATATAAATCTAGAATTCATTTTGATCTTGATTGAATACTGTGTGCAGCTTCTGTTCCCTCATCTAAAAGAGAAGTAGCCACTAGCAGTGGTCTAAACACATAACTGCCATTTAATTAAAAAAAAAAAAATAACTGAAAAGCATGTTGAAGAACCTACACAACTGATTTTTATATACAATATAACCTGATATCTGACGGCCTTTGTGACTTTAAAACTCATTTCAGCATCAACTGAACAAGAAATCTGACAAGAAGTCTCTCTTAGGTCTATACTTTCACCTTTCCTCCGGTGAAAAAACACACATGCTACACAGCGAAGCATCCTCTAGCAAGAATTCTTTCCCTGGAATGGCCTGGTCTAGCTGTACACTACTACAATTTATGTCAGAGGGTTAAGAAGAAACGGAATTTGCTCGGGCAAACCGGAGGACGAGCGAGCTGTAGGACCGCCCTAGATTTCTTCCCTTTCCCCTGGACAGCAAGGTCCCATTCCCAGGTCTGACAGAATCCAATTTTCCAGGGAAGCCGCAGCCCCCGGGCACCGCCGAGTGTCCTGGCCGAGGCCCCGCCGCCCCCCCCCACCTCACCTCGGCCCGGGGGCCTCCCCCGGCGGTCGCCGCCGCCCCGCCGCCCCCCAGGGCCTGGTCGCTCTTCTTGCGCTTGTATTTGTCCTTGTAGATCTTGTTGCGGTGCCGCTTGCACATCCAGGGCTTGCGCTGCTTCACCACCTGCGTGGTGGTCTCGCTGCAGCCCTGGTACGTGCAGCTCTTGCACTCGCCGCCCGCCGCCGCCTCGCCGCTCGAAGCCGCCGCCGGCCCCGCCTCCGCCTCCTCCTCCTCCAGCTCCTCCAGGCTGGCCGTGCTCTCGCCGCCCGCCGCCTCGGCCTCGGCCTCCTCCTCCCTCGCCTCGGCCCCGCCGGGCCCCCCCAGCCCGTACAGCACCATGATGCCGCCGCTAGAGGAGGGCGGCAGCGGCGCGTCGGCGCTCGGCACCGGCTGCAGCGCCACCCCCGCCGTGCCAGCCGCCGCCTCCCCGCCGCCGCACGGCTGCATCAGAAGCAGCGCCAGTTGCTGCTGCTGCGGCGGCGAGGAGGAGGAGCAGGAGGAGCAGGAAGCGGAGGAAGAGGAGTAGGCGAAAGCGGGAGGCAGAGCTGCAGCAACGAAGCCGCCGGGACACCCGTCCCGGCCAGCCCCCAAGTCCTCGCCGCGCCCCCAGCGCGCAGGCGCCGCGAGAGGGGAGATGTCAGGAGGTTCTGGCAGCCACGGTGTGATTTGGGCCTGTGTGACGTCCTACCCTTAAGGGGAAGAGAACACCCGAGATTCGTAAATGCTCGTGGTTAAAAGGAACGACAGAAGTCAAGAGGGTCCGCAAACAATCAAAGTTTTATTAGTAAATTGCACACTCGGCATGGAAATCGGTGTGTTAGCCCCCGACCTACTACATAAGCATATGGCAGTGGGGTTTGGATAAAGGGAAAGGCTGAAAGTGAAGAGAGAAAGGAAGAGATGAAATGAGGGAAGGATAGGAGAGAGAGAGAAAGAAATGAAGGAAGGGAGAGAGAAAGAGAAAAAGGTGTTCAGAGTCCTGGAGGTACTGCCCTGGTTTGTGGGGATACCATTTCATGGATAGGTTTCCCGACTCTGAAGATGCTCTTCTTGCTTTCCATGTAAATTAGTCGTCATGTTGTAATGAGTAGTAGTGGTTTAATTTACTCATCAAATTAGTAATAGTGGCTTACTCATTAAACTGTAGTGCATGTTATATTCTTATATATATATGTCATTATAATCACTGTTCTGTTACTGGTAAGAAACTGTAAGTTGTAGAATGGTTCATTAATCTATCAGCATTGTAAGCTGAAAAAGCATGAAGTTTGCAGTTCTAAAGCTAGAAAGACAAACCATTGTGCCTTGTTAAGTAAATATTTTTGTATCTTATTTTTCTAAAAAGCTTATTGTCTCACAACACGCATAAAGTAACGAAAGAAAGGACAAGGATTGAAGAGTCAGGAACTGAAACAATACAGAATATCCAAGATAGACATCTGGAGATGCCTGCACGCTAGGCCTCAAGGTCTAGGGACTGATTGGAACTATGGGAGGAGAAAGCACCTGGCAACCGAAGCGAGAATGCAGAGAGGCCAACCAGAATCAGACCTGCAAAGCTCAGATCCAATAGAAAAACAACAAGTGACAATGGGAGGGAAACCAATAAGGGAATAAAAGTTACTGTTTTTGTTCACTGCGCTTGCGTGCCGTGAGTGGAGCAGGAGACTCCCCGGCCGCCCAGCATGCTGTTTTGCTTATTTGCATTTTCTATAAATCTTCAATAAATTTTTATTACTATATTTCAACTCAGTTTCATTTTACTTATAACAATGTGCATTCTGTTCTTTCAGATCTTTCTGGGAATGGGTTGGAGGACTTTGGGTGTCTTGGGTGGTCTTGATCCCCCCCTACAGTCCTTGCCAATTTCTTGGCCTCATTCCTGGACTTGCACAGTACTGTGTTGTGCTTATCTCCAGAGCAAGGGTGTTTGTCCCAGAAAACTGCTGTCCTACCTCTGTGTGTTCCCCTTCTTCAGTCACATCTTGTTCTTTCTCACAGCATGTTAGTACCAACAATCCTTGTCTATTAGTATCAACAATCCTTGTCTGGCTTTCACAGCCATCCAACTCTCTGTTCTTGAGACATACACATTAGCCCCTTATCTTCTTGGGTTCTATGCCTTGTCAGCCTGCTCAGCCTCCTGTCCTGCTCTGGTCCTGTGATGGCTGTCTAGACCCAAACATTCCTGCCACTGATCTTCACAAGTGCTGTCTGTAGGCTGTACTTGTGTCCTTGTTTTTCAGCCACTGTCACTTCAGACTGGGGACAAAGTGATGCAGTTTGGCTTCTCCCACTTAGCCTTTTTGTTTTCTCTAGCTTGCTGTTGCCCATGTAGCTTTCAGCATGCTGCTTCTTTCCCTTTCTTCCTTTGGAAATTGATTCTCTCTTTGGGTTACTTCTGCATGGTGGTTTGGATACTTTACAGGGCTCATCTGAGCAGTTAAGCTGATCTGCACCCAATTCCTGCCACGTATATTATTGCTAAGTAAATTTCTTTATTCTACAAAGTAAATGAATGCTCTATCCATAATCTTAGATGTTTTGTCACTCCTCAGTCCTGTCTTTTTCTCTGCAAAGCTCTTGCATTTTATTCCAAGAAAAAAATTACCTGTAATGCAACTGTTGTGCCTACCTTCAGTGTTCCTCTTGCTTACTCTTTCTGTGTCAGGCACTGGATTTTCCTCACTCCTGCAGAGAAGGCCCATTGAATTCCATCTCCTTGATTACCTGCTGTTTTCCCCTTAATTTTTCTTACCTCCTTACTGTCTGCGGGCTCTTCCCTGTCTCATTGCACGCATCAGTTCATCCCATATTAAAGAAAAGTGCTGACTCCATTTATTCCCTGGTAATTACCACAACTCCCTTTTCCTTTCATTAAGGTAAATGATTATGCTGTTTACAGTTGTGGCCATTCCATTTCACCCTTGATCTTGTCATAATACAGTCCTCCCTCATTTGTCAAAATAGTTACTGATGTGGTATAGTCACAGGCAAATCACAGTGAGCAGAGTAACTGTCCTCATTGCCTTTGACCCACCTCTAATATGGACAAGGTGACTTCCAGCTGTAGTGTTTAAACTGGAATTACAAATTCTTTTTCTTGTCAGTGAAGATTTACCCTCCCCACATCTGCCTCAGTGTCTTCATCTCTGTTACAGCCATGCTGGGACAACTTACCAAAAGCTTTCTTTAGAACTCAGCCTTGTATCTGTGCCAGTAGTGAAACATGTAGAAGTTACACCTAGCCTTCTTTTCCTCCTGCCTCACCTCTTTTGATGTCAGCTCCTTAAGACAGAGGCTGCCACTAAATGTTTGTTGTGTTTTTTTCCACATTATAGTTCCATTGAAATAATTCTAGATTTTTTTTCTTTAAATGCATCTTGAAAGAATTCCTTCTAAAAATTCTAAGTGCTATTGACATTAATTAAAATAAAAATCCAAAGTAATAACGAACCAAAAGCAATAACATTTTTCTCCAGCCACACTCCCTGCACATATCCACACAATAACTAATTAAAAGAAATGGGAAGTTGATAACCTTTAAGTTCCTAGGAAGAAGAGTTGCTTGTGTCCTTCACCCCCACTTCTCTGAAGCCCCTGTGAGACACAGAGGTTTGTCATGAGCTGGTCAGAGCAGTAAACTGAAGCAGTGAAAGGCTACATGAGAAAATTTTTCATGGAGTTAGGGTTTCCAACTAAATACTCTGGTGAAAACTCCCTCTCTTTTAGAATAGGTTGGGTTCTACCTTAGACACCTTGGTAACACATGGGGATCTCACTGAAGAATGTGCCTGGAAGCATACTTCAACTCCATAGTTCTCATTTTCCTCATCTGAAGAACAAAGAGCAACAGAAAGCTGCAGAAAACCAGCAATACCTTACAAAGGTACTGAAAGGGTTAATTAATTAGCAAATCAATTTGATATTTAATGAGCCTATTACGGTATTGCAATGTGAAGCTTTATCCAATTCTTCTTACCCAAGAACCTTATCATCTACTTCCTTTAGGGCATAGAAACATAAACGGGAATTAAACTAGTGTGAGCTAACAAATTAAACCCTTCTTAAAAAGCTACCATTGATGCTTTCTTTTCTTATATGCCAAGTTTGCTCAGAAAAGAGAAATCTGTGATGTAAAAGAAATAAAGTAGTCCTTTCCTTGGGCTGCACTTCTGTCAATCTGGCTCTTGGGGGAGGAGTGTCATGTTTGGAAAATTTTGTCACCAGTCTGTACATCATTGCCATCCAGCTGCATCATGTTTTGTCATCCCAGGTGCAATTAAAAGGAGATTCCTAATGCAATTATTGAAATCTAATAAATTAATTTGTCCATATGCTGACATCTTGTTGTTTAAATGGATTCTGTAATTTTCTACTGTCTCTTTTGTTTGTGTTTGAAATAGTTCATTTTAATATTCTAGATTTCTATACTAGTTCCTAATATCCAGTTCTTAGTTGTCTTGGGAAACAACATGCATTAAAAAACCAGATACAGATTATGATTCAGGAAGGTAATCATCATTGGAGAGGCTGATTTTTCCTACATACAGACCAAGATAGTACTAATGATTATAGCTGAAGTAATATTTTCAAATGTTGAAAGTTATCTTATCACTATTCAATGAGTTATGATATGAATTTTCTTCACTCAGTATGTCTATCTATCTATCTGTCTATCTATCTTCTATCTTTTACACAGAAGTGCATTTGTCTTTATCATTTGCTGTAACAGCACAGGCCCTACTAAGAACTTCTATGAGATGTGAAACTATGAAATTCATACCTCCAGTGTTGTGATAACCCTACAAAGGAGACATAATCTAAATGCAAATTATCTTGTAGCCTTATTGCTATAGGTTATTTGTTATAAAATGAACAGGTTGACTCAAGGAGAGCATTTGGGTTTTTAAAACAGGAGTGAAGGGTGCTCAAAAGATGCATGGGAATGAAGACTGATGAAAGGCTGAGAACAAATAGTTTTTAAAGCACATCTCTTCAAAAACACATCGTTTGCTAATGGAATCAAAATGTCAAGATATGTATATAGTCACATAAGATTTTTCTGCTTTGTTGTACCTTGTGCTGCTTAGCAAACTCCCTATTTATTCTTCCTACCTGCCCTTGGGGTTCAAGTCGAATTGCACAGTGATACAGTCATGGAAAGATTCAAAAGCTCAGCAGTCTAAAAAGAGATCTGCCTTCAAAGGAGAGCAAAGCTCAGACTGATCAATATGCTTACTGATACAAATGCCCAGGTGACAATGGGTGCTGAAGTCTTATGAATAATAGAAAGCAAAGGACTTCAAGCTGCTGTAGTCAGCCTGTTAAAGCTTGGTTTTCAGATAAGTGTACAAAAGTTTGATACCAATTTCATCAAACTTTTCACTTTATAAAAATAAACATCCTCTTTTACACCATTCAAATATATGAAATGAGTATGTTCAGAAACTCATTAGGTTTTGTGAACTGCAGATAAATTTATTTTTGCAAATCATGGAAATAAAAATCTAAACAGAAGTTTTGTTTGCATCAAGGATATGTGTTCTGGGTTTAGTAAATTTGTAACAAAAAATAGTCATAAGAAATAAGTTTTGAAAGAAAACCAGGACCTCTCTCATTTTGCATGGATATCTTTGTCCCATGTAAATGGATAAGTTAAACAGCTCTGCTGAAAGTAAGTC